GTTGCTTCTTTGTTGATATTTGTTATTGCTACTGTTATTGTGATTGGGATGTTCCCCCTTGTACTAACAGTCCTTAAACCCTATTAAGGACTGTTTGTATAAGAGGGAACATCCCAAGTGACTCCCATTGATATGAGTAACCTAAACCCTAAACCCTAAGCCCTAAACCCTAAACCCTAAACCCTAAACCCCAAACCCCAAACCCCAAACCCCAAACCCCAACCCCAAACCCCAAACCCCAACTCTAAACCCCAAACCCCAAACCCCAAACCCCAAACCCCAACCCCCCCAAACCCCAAACCCCAAACCCCCAAACCCCAACCCCAAACCCCAACCCCAAACCCCAAACCCCAAACCCCAAACCCCAAGCCCTAGATCCTAGACCCTAGACCCTAAACCCTAAACCCAGCCTGCACACGGGTTGAGAACTCTGTAGTTCCTTGCTGCAACCTTTCGTCCTTAGCCTTCTTGGGCTTCATAGTCGGTCGGAGTGGCGTTCAGCGTTCCAGAGTTTGGTTTTTTAGGGTTTAGGGTTTCCGGTTTAGGGTTTAGGGTTTAGGGTTTAGGGTTTAGGGCTACTAGGACCCAGGGTAGGCCCTCATTCCCTTTTTTCAGGGTGCAGGTTCCCTAAGGAACCCTCTGAAACCAAAAAGGGCACCCTTCTTTCTCCCTAGTCTAGTTGCTTCAGAACCCAAAAAAAATATTGTCTTCCTTTATAAGGGTAATGTAGGGATTACGATCTTTCATTTCTCCGGAGGTTTCTTAAGTGAACAGCAGGTTTGTGGGCTTTTGTGCTTCCCGCTGCTCAGAACTACGCCAGAATCCCACACTCTGAGCCCGAACACCCGAAACCCTAAAATTCCAAACCCTAAACCCTAAATCCTAAACCCTAAACCCTAAACCTTAAACCCTAAACCCTAAACCCTAAACCCTAAACCCTAAACCCTAAACCCTAAACCCTAAACCCTAAAACCCCAAACCCTGAAAGACCCTCAGCCCTACACCCCACGAGCTGAAGACCCGCACGCCCTTGCAGGCTCCCGTGGAATCCCTGCTATGGAGAACCTGGGCTCCTGTTAAGGAACTTACCAGCTGTAAGGGATTAGGGTTTAGGGGGGTTTAGGGTTTAGGGTTTAGGGTTTAGGGTTTAGGGTTTAGGGTTTAGGGTCACCATACTAGGATTTAGGGGCTTAGGAGGGCAGCTTAGGTTACCGTAACATGGACAGGTGGCCAAGAGTGAGTTCCATCCTTCTGTAAGACAACTTACGGTAAACTCCCAAAAGTTGGAACATCATTATCCTCATACCCCAAAAGGGTTGCCAAAGTCAATCCCAGCATCAATCGTCCCTAAACCATGTTCCAACTTTATGGAGTTTGCTGTAAGCCAAGCAGGGGTTAGGTGTGAGCATTTTTTTTAAAATGTTCTAATACCCTTAATCCCTACGTAATCCTTCTAAAGCCATAGGGTTTAGGGTTTAGGGTTTAGGGTCTAGGGTTTAGGGTTTAGGGTTTAGGGTTAGGGTTTAGGGTTTAGGGCCCAAACCTACCCCAGCAAGGAGCGGCGGAATGAATGCCTCTGCGACCTTAAGGCACTTGGCGTCCAAAACCCTAAACCCTAAACCCTAAACCCTAAACCCTAAACCCTAAACCCTAAACCCTAAACCCTAAACCCTAAACCCTAAACCCTAAACCCTAAACCCTAAACCCTAAACCCAAAACCCTAAACCCTAAACCCTAACCCCTAAACCTAAACCCTAAACCCTAAACCCTAAACCCTAAACCCTAAACCCTAAACCCTAAACCCTAAACCCTAAACCCTAAACCCTAAACCCTAAACCCTACACCCTAAACCCTAAACCCTAAACCCTAGACCCTGAACCCTGAACCCGAAACCCTAGAGGCACTTGGTATCGCACCTCCGAGCTGGCACTCGAAGCACCAGTGTGGGGAGCATCGTGCACGTGGACCACGCGTTGCAAGAGTCTGCCTGGGATGCGCTCTTGTCTCCTGGCCCCAAACCCTAAACCCTAAACCCTAAACCCCTCAACCCTAAACCCTAACCCCTAAACCCTGAACCCTAAACCCTAAACCCTAAACCCCTAAACCCTGAACCTTAAACCCTAAACCCCTCAACCCCTCAGCCCCAACCCCCTCAACCCCTCAACTCCTAAACCCCTAAGCCCCACCCCAAACCCTAAACCCTAAATGAGGGTTTACGAAAGCAGGGGACCCCTAATTTTGACCCCAAAATAGCAGGATTCCGCAATAAGAAGGACCCCAATAAGGCCCTAAACCCTGAACCCTAAACCCTAAACCCGAAACCCCTAAGGTTTGTATCCCCAAATGTTCCCCTCAATAGGCTCCTAATATGGCACTTAATGGTCCAAGGTACGACCCCCAGAGCAGTCGGACCATTTTGCCTTTGTGTTTTTTTGGAGGGGTTTCTAAACCCCAAACCCCAAACCCCAAACCCTGAACCCTAAACCCTAAACGCCTAAACGCCTAAACGCCTAAACGCCTAAACGCCTAAACGCCTAAACGCCTAAACGCCTAAACGCCTAAACCCTAAACCCTAAACCCTACACCCTAAACCCTAAACCCTAAGCCCTAAGCCCTAAACCCTAAGCCCTAAGCCCTAAACCCTAAGCCCTAAGCCCTAAACCCTAAACCCTAAACCCTAAATCCTAAACCCTTAAAAGCCCGAGGCTCCTGGGCTTGCCAGACATCGGCGGCATGGGCTCCTTGATGGTGGCCTTCGGCGTTCTTTCGGCCGCCGGCTCGCAGCTGCTTCTTGGTTTAGGGTTTAGGGTTTAGGGTTTAGGGTTTAGGGTTTAGGGTAGCTGAGTAAGTACACTTTACACTTTCTAGGGATACTAGAATCTCTACAAAACTAAACAGGTGTACACTTTTTGGGGGCTTCTGAACTCAGCAGCTAAGGCTCTTCTGCTGGATGGTGTTCAGCAACTTCCTCTCCGCCGACGAGAAGTATCTTACCTAGCCAATAGTTGAACTTTAAGCTGTTTTTGGGTTTCCTTGTTAAGTAGGAATAATGAAGTTTAACCGTTTTTCCACTTGGGTACTGGAGAAGTAAGGTATGACTTGACCTACTTGAGGGAGTGGCGGATCTACTATGGCCACAGCGTTCATTCCTATGACCATAGCTCCGGCTCCTCACTGGTGAGCAAGGTTTGCAACGGACGGCCTTTTGAACGTGAGTGGTGGAACAACGCTCTTCTCAGCGAGGCGGCCGTTCATTAAGACAGAGAGCGGGATCGAGTATATAGTACTTCTACATAAATCCTCCCCGATGATCAACTTTGTGGGGTGCGCGCCAGAGGCTTTCTACAGATGCCGTGATGAAGTGTGGCTTTGTCTGAAAACGTGTGCAAACGAGACGATGAAGTCGCCAGGCGATACATGTGAAAACAAACGAATTGCATGTGAAGGCTAAGAAATTAATTCACCTTTCATCACAAACTGCCTCTAACTAAACAAATACTTTCCACTTGTTTCAGGAACAGAAACTTATAGGGAATCACTCTGACCATACTAGTTGCCCCCAATGTAGTCGTGAAAGTAGTCGTGCTATTCACCGGCCATATAGTTTTAAACCTTAGAGTTCGCGGGTCAGGGTTGGGCTACAAATACAGAGGCGAAACTGAACACTAAATTTTACCAAGAATTCTAGTTCCCCTAAACCCTGAACCCTCCGAAACCTCCAAGTATGTTAATCAAATCGGCAGCTGTTTCCATGTCAAGCTTGGGGGATATTATCTCTTCTTAGTAAGAGTATACTCCTGAAAGTGTTATTCGTTCAATAGCTGGGAGGCTTTCTTTGCTATTTGTTGTTTTAACTCCTGGAGTTTAAGTAGCCCTCACTTGGCAAAAAACAACACGACAAGCCCCTGATTGCAATACTCATGTGGCGCATTTGTACCAGCAGCTGTCCTTCATTCTGTTATGTCAAACCCTAAGCCCTAAGCCCTAAGCCCCAAGCCCTAAGCCCTAAGCCCTAAGCCCTAAGCCCTAAGCCCTAAGCCCTAAGCCCTAAGCCCTAAGCCCTAAGCCCTGAGCCCTGAGCCCTGAGCCCCAAGCCCGAAGCCCTAAACCCTAAACCCTAAACCCCAAACCCTAAACCCTAAACCCTAAACCCCCTAAATTCCCGGGCCTTTTACGTAGTTCGATTCTTCTTCTTCTTGGCAGCCCCGTGGTGCTCCACTTGCCCTTACAGGCTGAGTCTCTGGTTCTTGGAAGAATGTAACCAACACCAAAAAGGGGTTTAGGGTTTAGGGTTTAGGGTTTAGGGTTTAGGGTTTAGGGTTTAGGGTTTAGGGTTTGGGGTTCCCTTCTGATAGTATATGTTTACTGGGCGCCAGCATGTCTGAATGGCCGACTATGTGTATTTGCAACTTGGAGGGGGGGGGAACGAATGGGATGAAGAGTCTTTTCTATGAGCGAGAAGCCGAAGATGTCGTGCACTACGTATGATGTATGTGTTTAGCAAGCAGCATGTGTGGCACAAGCGTACTGCCATTAAGGACAAGTAGTGGAAGGAAATCTGGGGATTGGGGGTGCAGCATGGGATTTGTTTTGGTGTAAGGAGCCCGTACCCTAAACCCTAAAGTCAGAACATGAGGTGGACGCTTACCTTCAGCCCGTCTTCCCTGGCGTCGACATGCCGATCGGCTTGGTGCCATGGGCTTGTGAAGTCCTGTGTGTTGCTTCTGTCCACCCTCTTTCCCCAACCCCAGGTTTAGGGTTTAGGTTTCGGGTAACCCTAAACCCTGGAACCCTGAAACCCTGAAACCCCAAGCCCCCAACCCGAAAGACACCCCAAACACTTAACGCCCAAACCCCAAATGCAGAGATCCCCTTAAAGGGACGGGTGGTCGCCTCAAACCCTACACCCCCCTAAACCCTGAACCCTGAACCCTAAACCCTAAAGCCTTACTGTTCAGCTAACCTCCTAAACCGGGCATCCTATTGAGGTGCTGACGAGCATGGTTATCATCATCTGGTTCTGCCTCATTCTGGTAGAGCTCGACACTTGGGCAGTTTAGGGTTTAGGGTTTAGGGTTTCGGGTTTCGGGTTTAGGGTTTAGGGTTTAGGGTTTAGGGTTTCGGGTTTAGGGTTTAGGGGATAGGGGTACCTTGGACGCCTCAGGTTGTACCCTTGCGTTGGGGGGGGGGGGGAACCTTGTTAAAGATCCTCTTAGAGGAGTTTTGCTAGGATGGGTGGTGTCCTGAATTATGTGCCCTAAACCCTAAACCCTAAACCCTAAACCCTAAACCCTAAACCCTAAACCCTAAACCCTAAACCCTAAACCCTAAACCCTAAACCCGAAACCCTAAACCCTAAACCCTAAACCCTAAACCCTAAACCCTAAACCCTAAACCCTAAACCCTAAACCCTGTTTGGGTACCCTTTCAAAGGGGACCCCCGAGGGGACCCTAATTTAGAGAACTACCCACCCTTGTTGCCCTTTTTTTGGTCCTGGGTTCCCTGTGTTTAGTCATCAACCCCCCCCAAAAGGGTTTAGGGTTTAGGGTTTAGGGTTTAGGGTTTAGGGTTACCCTTGTTATCACTTATTTACTGGGCTACCAAGGACACGGTCTTCGGCTTCATGAACGCCATTCTGCGCCTTCCGCGCACGGGCGTCACCAAGGTGGAGTTCACCGAGTCGCTGGGGTATAAACAGGGTTTAGGGTTTAGGGTTTAGGGTCTAAACAGTGTACATAGGATTTGAAACTCTGAATCCACGATTCTGAGTGCTGGCTTCTTTTCTCTTTCTTCGGCATGTAGGTTTGAGTGGCCCCTAAACACCTCGAAGCACGCTTAAGAGAGCTCTTGAAGGTTCGGTCGGAGAGCCTTTGTGAGCATCAGCTACAAGCGGCTGATCGCCGTCTGCTTCATGTCCTCCATCCGCGCCTTCATCGCCATGAACCTTGGCGCCTCTGCGGGCTTGTGGTTGGCGAGGACGCGGGACGTCCATGACATCCTCAGGGATGGGGTTTCGCTCATCTTCATCCTTGAGATTCCCGGGCCTTTTTTTGGTACATGCTTTTTCTTCCTTGTAGCCAGAAGGATTCGGAAGTGCATGCATGGTGTGTGGCGTATTCTGACACCCAGGATAGATGACTGATATACAAGGTGCTGGTGCCTTCGCATGCCAAGAAGTACATGGCCTCCATCCAGAGGTTCTTGGTGAAGGAAGAGCAGAAGACGTACGTCTTCAACCTGGCAAGCCTGCTGAAGCTGCTGGTGCTGTGTGCTGTCCCTAAGTTGCTGAGTGAGTACACTTTACACTTCCTTGGATACCATACTCCCCTACAGAACTGCAAGTGTGCACTTTTTTTGGGCCTCATGAACTCGGCAACTAAGGTCCTTTGGGTTCTTGGTGTGACAACCTTGATGCCAAACAAGACCCAAGCGCAGACTGTCCGGGAAATGATTTGTGGCGGGAATCGAGACTTCGTGTACGGCTCCCATCCGACGATCGGCCCGATCTTCGTGGCCGACACAACGCAGTACAATCTGAAGAACGCGGAGAACATGCTGCCAAACATTGCCAACTTGGTGGAGGACGTCGTCTTCAACTACGACCCGGCGGATGTGAAAGACTACATGTGGCGGACCACTCTGTCTGGGGGAGCTGTGGCGGTCAAGCACCTCCCCACTGTTACCGATCCTGGGGTTGCTGTTAAAGGGTGAGTTTAGGGTTTAGGGTTGAGGGTGTTAAGGATTTTGAGTTTACCGAGACTGGGGTTGCTGTTAAGGATATGAGATGCAGGTATTTTAGCAGGGGAGAACACATTCACTACTCACTATGTATTCTGCCTACGGTAGTATATGTTCCTAGGCTCCTAGACCCTCAGCCGTAGACCCAAAACCCAATTTCTCAACCCAACCCTTGTGTGCTATTTGCCCTCCAAAGGATTTTACGTTCTTCCCTAATAAGGGTAGTATAGGGATCATTATCCTTAGTTTTTTTTGGGTTCTTAAGCAATAGTAGTTGTAGGTATTATCGGGTTCTCAAGGGAGGAGGAGTTGGTATGCAACCCAACACTCCCTAATACTCCCCCGCAACTCCCTAAGTCTCCCTAGGCTTCCCTAAGGTTCCCTAGGTACCTACCACCCTTGAACCCCCCTCCCTTAAGAACCTTAAACCCTAAACCCTAAACCCCAAACCCTAAACCCCCCTCCCTTAAGAACCCCAAAAAGTTACGTCACTGTAAGTTCCGTGTCGTTTGCCTAGGAGATGCAGGCCTGGCTAAGCATGAGCCTTGGCAGGCAATGGGACATGTTTAGGGTTTAGGGTTTAGGGTTTAGGGTTTAGGGTGTAGGGCTTAGGGCTTAGGGCTTAGGGTTTAGAGCTCAGGGCTTAGGGTTTAGGGGCTTAGGGAACAGATGGGGGCGAGGGGGAGGAGGAACTTTGGGATGTAGGGCTGCGGGTTTAAGGTGACCCTAAACTCCAACCGCCACAGCCCTAAAACCTCTCTACCATATAAACCTAAATGGTAAACACGAATTAGGCAATTTGACCCCCATTGTTCAGCACGAATTGGCAGTTTGAAACAGTTTGGCCCCTCTGACCCCTCTTGTTCAGCACGAAATATGCAGTTTGATCCATTTTATGTTGGCCCTCTGACGCCTGTGCCGCCCCATTGTTCAGCACGAATTAGGCAATTATTTTGACCCCTCTGGCCCCTTTGGCCCCTTATTGTTCAGCACGAATTAGGCAATTTGATCCATTGGCCTCTCTGACGCCTTTGACCCCCCATTGCTCAGTGCGGTTGGCAGGCTCTGCAGCTCAGCAGAGCCACGAAGCCAGCAGGGCACAGGACTGACTCAGGACTCCGGGTTCCTGGATGGAAGAACTTGAGGTTTGCGATTTTTTGGCTTCTTGGTGCGTCTGCAATGTTATGGGATTCTTTCGGCGGGTGGCTTCTTTTCCGTTGCCTACACACACTGCTTGCATAGTAAATGCTCCTAAACACTCAATCCTAACCCTAAACCCTAAACCCTAAACCCTAAACCCTAAACCCTAAACCCTAAACCCTAAACCCTTAACCCTAAACCCTAAACCCTAAACCCGAAAGCAGCCAAGGACCGAAGCAGAAGCCGCAGAGGAAACTGACTACGGGAGCCGGAGCTATGGCACCTTCTGTGACTGGGTTTAAAGGGTTGAGGGTTTAGGGTGTACCCTGAGCCCTAAACCCTAAACCCTAAACCCTAAACCCTAAACCCTAAACCCTAAACCCTAAACCCTAAACCCTAAACCCTAAACCCTAAACCCTAAAACCCTAAACGGTTTAGGGCTGAGGCTAGCTGTTTGAGGCGTTTGAGCCATCCCTTCAGGATTCCGTTCTTGGGTTCAGGCTGGAAGCCTTCGGTAGTAGTCGCCTGGGATGCGCCCTACACGCTAAAGGGTTTTGGGTTTAGGGTTTAGGGTTTAGGTTTAGGGTTTAGGGTTTAGGGTTTAGGGTTTAGGGGTTAGGGGTTAGGGGTTAGGGGTTAGGGGTTAGGGTTTAGGGTTTAGGGCTAAAGCCTAAGCTCTGAACCCTAAACCCGAAACCTCAACCTGTGTATCTAGACTACGCTATCATCGCAAGGAAACCCTTCCCAAAAATGGGCTGTAGGGGTTAGGGTTTTGAGAGGTTCGGAAATTTAGGACTAGAGTGTGTTGGGTATCCCCCTGAAACCTTGAACCCTGAACCCTAAACCACCCTAAACCTTAAGCCCTAAGCCCTAAGCCCTAAGCCCGAAGCCCTAAACCCGAAAGCCCTCAACCCCTAAACCCTAAACCCTAAACCCTAAACCCCTAACCCCTAAACCCTAGCCCAGGTGAAGATCGCTCCCGAGACTTTTGGGAAGGCCTGGGTAAGGGTGTTTAAGGGTGTAGGATTTAGGGTTTAGGGTTTAGGGTTTAGGTTTTAGGGTCTTGAGAACGCCCCCCCCCCCCCCCCCTCCCCAATAATGGGGTTATTGGTTTAGGGTGTAGGATTTAGGTTTAGGGTTTAGGGTTGAAGGCAGGTCTACAACCGTAAACAAGCTGCAGGCAACCTGGAACACAAAGAAGTGAGGTTTCCCTAAACCTTAAACCCTAAGCCCTAAATCCTAAGCCCAAAACCCTAAACCCTAAATCCAAAACCTAAACCCTAAACCCCACAGGGTGGTGCCATGCTTGCGGAGATATTAGTGGCGGCCTCATCATCGAAGATTCCTCACATTGTAGGGTTTAAGGTTTAGGGTTTTGGGGTTTAGGGTTTAGGACTCTTATTCCCTTCTTTTAGTTCAGGGTTATGTAGGGACCTTCTTCCCTTCTTCCATGTTTAGGGCCCCCTTATAGGCCCCTCAGATCTTTACGAGTTTGGTAAACAGGCGACTGGCTCTGGCCAACCATTGAGACCCTCACCGGTGCCAAAGACTGCGCCAGCGCGAAGCCTTTCTGCGAACGGCGCGACTTACCCCTGTCCCTTGCACCACCTTTGGCTCTTCAGGGGTTTAGGGTTTAAAGTTTAGGGTTTAGGGTTTAGGGCTAGTGTTTAGGGTTTAGGGCTTAGGGTTCACGCCTAACCCCTGCACCACCTTGTTTATCAAGGGATAAAGACTCGCACCCCTACGGTTTTACCCCGAAAGGTTCCCCTTAATATACTCCCAAAATGGCCCTTCTATTCCTTTAGGGATCCTTCAACAGGGCCCCGAAAACCGACGAGTTCAACTTTGGGGTGTTCCAAGCTGCAACCCCTAGAGTTTATGGTTTAGGGTTCAACGGGTTTAGGGTTTAGGGTTTAGGGTTTAGGCTTGATGGAACGAGGGCTCGCGCCTTTAAGGCTGTGGCTGCAGGGCTTCAGTTGCAGCATGGTGAACCTAAAGAGCCCAATATAGCTTAATTAAGGAATATTCCTTAAATCATATAGGGATCCTTACTATGATTATTTAAGGTATATTCCTTAATGAAGCAATATTGGGCTTTTCGGGAGGAGTTGAGGAGCGGCTGGTCGTTTGGTTTCTTGTTCTTGCAGATGCGTTTTGTCTTTTGAACGTCCTTGAAGTCATTGACATGACATGCCCTCTATACATACACTGTACATGCAGTGGGCGGAGGAGCGAAGAAGTTAAGGCAATGCGAGCAGGCACTGCTAATGAAGGCACTAAGGGCCCAAGAATGCGTCCTCGGGGGCAACCAGTGCCCAAGGTCATTCCCTCACCCCTCCTGGTGAAGGCCTAACCCTCCTAAGCCCTATGAAACTTTAGTTGTGGACCCTAAACCCTAAACACGAAACCCTAAACCCTAAACCCTAAACCCCAAACCCTCAAACCCCACACAGGGGGATGCTCAGCCAAGGATTCGCATGATGTGCCCCGAGACCTGCGGCTGTGTGGATCCACTGGCCGGGACGCGTTCTTCTGGCTGGTTCCCAAAGAGCCCAATATTGCTTAAGGAATATTCCTTAAGTCATATAGGGATCCTTAATATGATTTAAGGAATATTCCTTAATTAAGCAATATTGGGCTCTTTGGGTTCTTAGAAGGGAGTGAGGAAAAGCGTGCCCTATGTACTCTCTCAAAGGTTAGATATCGGGCCATACGTCCTCTCGTTCCCTACTAAGAACCAGGGGGTCTTAGGAGGGAGCACGTTGAAGCTTGGGTTTCAGGTCTTCAGCATGTAGGGGTTGAGAGGCTTAGGGAAGGACCACGGCCACAGAGACTTCCCAACCCAGCCCGCAACCCTAAACCCCTTAAAATTTTGGCTAAGCTTTTAAGCCCTAAAACCCCAAGGCCTAAACCCTAAACCCTAAGCCCTAAACCCTAAACCCTAAACCCCAAACCCTTGAGAGAACAGGCCGGGCTCTATGTGGACAACGGCTGCCGCCAGCTCTGCCGTGAAACGCCCGAGTTCCAGGCCGCCCTGGCAAGCGCGGCGTGCCAGGAGCTGCTGGTCGGCTCGAGGGAGTCAACCTTCCCGAAGCCCCTAAAGCTTGTAAGAGCCCGAAACCCTAAACCCTAAACCCTAAACCCTAAACCCTAAACCCTAAACCCTAAACCCTAAACCCTAAACCCTAAACCCTAAACCGTCAATGTATCAGGACTTGTCGAACTCGAAGCAGGAGCTTGCTTGGCAGAGGTGGGTCTGATCCCAAAAGACGGAGAATCCCAAGCCCTCTCCCAACTCCCAAAACGCCCGGGTTTAGGGTTTAGGGTTTAGGGTTTAGGGTTTAGGGTTTAGGGTTTAGGGTTTAGGGTTTAGGGTTTAGGGTACCCAAAATCTTAAACCTCTGAAACCCAAAACCCCTTTAGCCCCCAAAATCTTAAACCTTTGAACCCTAAACCCAAAATCTTAAGCCTCTAAACCCTAAACCCCTTTAAGGCCCAAACCCAAAACGCCCCTAAACCCCGACATCAAAGCCTACCTAACCCTAAACCCTAAACCCTAAACCCTAGACCCTAAACCCTAAACCCTAAACCCGAAACCCTAAACCCGAAACCCTAAATCCGAAACCCTAAACCCGAAACCCTAAACCCGAAACCCTAAAACCCTAAACCCTAAACCCGAACATCCTCGAAGGCCCTTAAACTCTCAACTTAAGCCCCAGGGCCTGCCAAACCGTTGGCTAAACCCCCCTGAATCTCAAGGGTTTAGGGTTTAGGGCAGGGTTTCGGGTTTAGGGTTTAGGGTTTAGGGAAGCTTCTTATGCCCTAAGTCCCAAGCATCTTAAGCCCTAAAGCCTAAACTCCGTAAGCCACAGACCCCTCAAGCCCTAAACCCCCTGAACCCCGTAAAGCCCTGAAGCTACCGCGAAGCCTGAGAACCCTTACTACGCCCTTAAACCCCAAGCTTCCTAAGCCCTAAGGGGTTTAGGGTTTAGGGTTTAGGGTTTAGGGTTTAGGGTTGTGGGTTGTGGGTTGTGGGTTGTTGGTTGTTCAAGCCTTGTTAACACCTAAACCCCTGAAAAACCCCCCACCCCCATGAAACCCCCCTAAATCCTTACGCCCCAAACCCACGAACCCTAAACCCTAAACCCTAAACCCTAAACCCTGAAAGAGGTGGTGGAGTGGCTTCTACTCCAACGAGAGGGGCATCTGGAGCGAGGAGCGCCCCGGGCGTGGGGTTCAGGAATTTGGGGTTTTGGGGTTTTGGGTTTAGGGTTTAGGGTTTGGGGTTTAGGGTTTAGGGTTTGGGGTTTAGGGTTTAGGGTTTGGGGTTTAGGGTTTAGGGTTTAGGGTTTAGGATTGAGGGCCCCACGCCTTGAGCAGGACAACGAGATGATGACCTTCGCAAGGGGTGGCGCCGAGGGGAACTGCAGCTTCCTCCTGTCCCAGGCGTGGACCGTCCGGGCCCGGGTTTAGGGTTTAGGGTTTAGGGTTTAGGGTTTAGGGTTTAGGGTTTAGGGTTTAGAGGTTTAGGGTTTAGGGTTTAAGGTTTAGGGTTTAGGGCTCCTGGACGCCCTACACCCTTGAAGCCCTGTAGCCTTACAGCTGTGGAGCCCAAAACTGAAAACCTGAACCTGGTACCCTAAAGAGCCTAACACCCCTGGAACCTCAACCCTAAACCCTAAACCCTAAAGCCTAAACCCTAAACCCAAAACCCTCAGCCCTCAACCCTCAGCACGCCGCGTGCCAGGATTGGATGGCCCGAACCTTCTGCCAGCAGCGCCAGACGCGCCCAGGCACCATGATCTGTCCCTCCGCGCCCGTGGCCGCAGTTTGATTGGGGTTTAGGGTTTAGGGTTTAGGGTTTAGGGTTTAGGGTTTAGGGGTTTAGGGTCTAGGGTTTAGGGTTTAGGGTGTTTCGGGTTTAGGGTTGAGGGTTCAGGGTTTAGGTTTACCATGATCTGTCCCTCCGCGCCCGTGGCCGCACTTTCGCTAAGGTTCAGGGTTTCAGGCTGTGCAACGGTATGTGATAGCTGCAAACTTCAACCCACTCTCGAAGTGGACCCTCAATCCTAAATCCTAGTCCTAAATCCCATTCCCCAATCCTAAATCCTGGTGGCTTCAGAAAGGCCCACTGCAACCCTAAACCCAAAACCCTAATCCCTAAACCCTAAACCCTAAACCCTAGGTGGGGGGACCCTAAGATTGGCCGAAAAAGTTGTCGATTCCCACAAAACCGGATGCCGGGGTGCCCTCAAACAATGCGCACCGACATAGGGTTAAGGGTTTAGGGTTTAGGGTTTAGAATTCTTTATAATCTGGACCTTGTGGCGATGGGCCAAGTCGTTTCGTGCATGATGCGGACGCTTCTGTTTCTCTGAGGTGGTCTTGTGCAGACCCTGCCAAAACTTGCCTGGCGCTTTCCAAGAGCTTCTCAGGACACCTCCACTTGTTGCAGCTCCTGCTGTTCCCTTGCTTCCGGCTTTGTTGCGGCTGCGCCCTAAACCCTAAACCCTAAACCCTAAACCCTAAACCCTAAACCCTAAACCCTAAACCCTAAACCCTAAACCCTAAACCCTAAACCCTAGTGCACGCCACTCTTCTTCTCAGCTACCGCTGCAGCATCAGCTGCCGTGCTCAGTGCGCCGGGACGAAGTGAGCAGGGCTGGGGCTGGTCGACGCTTCTGCTACCTCTTGGAGAGGGTTTAGGGTTTAGGGTTTAGGGTTTAGGGTTCAGGGCCTAGCGCAAGCCCACAACAGCCCGGTCGAGGCTGCTGCCCCCTTCGTTTTGCTGCTCCTTTGGCAGGGAACAAGGGCCCCCCTTGCTGGCAGGGATGGGGGGTCGAACCCAACCCTAAACCCCAAACCCCAAACCCCAAACCCCCAACCCAAACCCCAAATCCCAAACCCTAAACCCCAACCCTAAACCCTAAACCCTAAACCCTAAAGCCTAAACCCCAAACCCCAAACCCCAAACCCTAAATTACTCGCAGCCCGAAACCCTAAACCCTAAACCCTGAGCTGGACTAGGTGTGTGGCTGCCCTGGCATCACGGACGGCTGGTGCCCCGGCTCCTGTCTCTCCGACGCCACCCCCGCGGAGGGAGGCGTGGGTTCAGGGTTTAGGGTTTAGGGTTTAGGGTTTAGGGTTGGGCTTTCTTACGATGAGGGTTCAGATTATTTTTTGGTTTCAGGGTTTAGGGCTTCTGAGTTTCAGGGTTTCATTTTCGGGGGTTTGGCTGAAGGCCCGAACCCATCCTAGCCCACCAGGAGACTCTTCGCGTTGATGAGGTAGCTTCGGATATGTGCCATGCAAAGGGGCGCTTGGGATGAACCCCGAGACCAGGCCAGCGTTTATATAGGGTTTAGGGTTTAGGGTTTAGGGTTAGGCTCCGCACGTTTGGCACATACCCTTTTCGAATTCTTGAGCCGGGGCTAATGTTTGCGCATTTAAGCCCCGGCCAGAGCGCATTTTTCAGAGCGTCATCGCCCCCGCAGGGATGTGGCGACGTTGGACCTTTCTGGCTGTTCCCTTGGGCTTGAAAGACCCTGACAAACCCTGAGCCCCAAAATGCTTATTCTAGTCAGTTATATGAAGACTATGTGTGCCCTTGAGGGCATATACGGGCTAACCCCTAAAAGCCCCTTTGTGACAACCCTGAGCGCTATATGAACCCCAAAGCCCACGCAGCCAGACCTAAGCAACAACGAGGGAGTCCCCTTCCTGCATTGCATTCCTTAAGGGAAGCATGCAGGAGCTGGTTCTCATGAGGGAATCTTCGAAGACATGGGGGAACTATCAAGGGATTAAGGCTCGTATCCCTAAGGTCGTACCCCTTAAGGGGTTCCCGTAGGAAACTCCTAGCATGGCCCTTATACTACCATAAGGACCTTTAGAAAGGGTCCCCAACGCCCAAGGGTACAACCTTAAGGGTCCAAGGTCCTAAACCCTAAACCCGAAACCGTAACCCTATAAACCCTATAAACCCTAAACCCTAAACCCATAAACCCTATAAACCCTATAAACCCATAAACCCTATAAACCCTAGAAACCCTATAAACCCTATGAACCCTATAAACCCTATAAACCCCATAAACCCTATAAACCCTATAAACCCTATAAACCCCATAAACCCTATAAACCCTATAAACCCTATAAACCCTATAAACCCTATAAACCCTATAAACCCTATAAACCCTATAAACCCTAAACCCTAAACCCTAAACCAACCCCTAAACCCTAGACAAAGACTGGCGGATAGGTCCACGGTACAACCCCTGGAAGCTAGGAGCCTGGTCACCCCCTCGAGGAGCCACAGGAGACTCATCTTCCTAGCTACCCAGATCTTCTAAAATCCCCTTAATTAAGGAAGATACCCTACTTCGCAATCATGTTCGTTAGTACCCTAAACCCTAAACCCTAAACCCTACACCCTAAACACTAAACCCGAAACCCTAAACCCTAAACCCTAAACCCTAAACCAGAAAGAGGCACGAAACCGCCGTGCATTAACATCGAGGCAAGAAGCCCGTAATTTCCAGACATCAGATCCACAGCATAATCTAAATTGCATCCTTGAACATTCGCACTAAAGCGAGTGGACCTATATTAGAACGAGATAAAGACCGTTATGAGACCCAAACCCTTAACCCTAAACCCTAAACCCAAAACCCTAAACCCAAAACCCAAAACCCTAAACCCTAAACCCCAAACCCTAGACCCTAAACCCCAGGTCGTGCTAACCTGGTCGTGGTGGTAAAGGCTGGTCGTGGTAAGTCCGCAAGCGCGGATTGCGTCAGTGTGAGAAAGAACTGGTCATGGCAACACCCCCTTGTGGGTGAGTTCTCGGGATGTCCCCCCTTCTACTAGCAGTCCTGAAAAGGGATTATACTAGAGGGTACCATGATCCCTACTAAGGGCTGCTGGTAGAAGGAGGAACATCCCAAGTTAGTTCTTTCTTTCATGACCCCCCTCTGCACCTTCCCAGTTTGGGGGAGGTATTTTCGCAGAGGTTGTTTCTGCGAGCGCTTCTCTGTCAGAAGCAGGGCCGGCTGCATCGTCCTCACCGGCTGCATGATTGTGTGTTGAACCCTAAACTCTAAACCCTAAACTCTAAGACCTAAACCCTAAACCCGATGCGAAGCTTGCCCGGAGTAGTGGCGCGGGCGTGACTGCGAAGTTCTGAGAACTTCCATCACCTCAATAGTGAGTTCACTTCTTAAATTGCTTTCCTGAAGGGAAGCATGCGGGAGCTGGTTTTTGCCAGGGAGTGTACAGGGAACTGGGCAATAAGGTGTCGTGTCGGGGAATTTGCCTGGCTCCTGCACGAAGAACCAGCGCATTCAGCGTAAGTGCCCGATGGTCGGATCTCCGTGTGAGAGATGGTTGTGGCTGAAGCAGTCGCATCTCCTGAATGGTGGGTCCTCGCCGACTGAATGAGCATGTGAGCCCCCGATTCAACTGTCTTTGCCCCGGCTTGTGCAGTGTGAGCATGGACACTGTATGCTCTATGCTAGCCCTTCTTGAAAGCCACGCCGTTTCTGAATTTTTTCGTCTGGGGCTCACGTGAAGTCAAACCCTAAACTCGCAACTTTCCTAAACCATAAACTCAACCCTAAACCCTGAACCTTGCTGAGCCGTAAACCTTTATTCCCGAACACCCTAAGCGGAGACGTGTAGTCACCGTGTCGTCCGTGAGCTGCACTCGAAGCACAGTTCGTGTGCAGCACCGCTGCTTCGGGACAGGGCTGGGCCCAGTCGCAAAAAACGCTTGGGCTCTGGCGTCAGGGTCTAGGGTTTAGGGTTTAGGGTTTAGGGTTTAGGGTTTAGGGTTTAGGGTTTAGGGTTTAGGGTTTAGGGTTTAGGGTTTAGGGTTTAGGGTTTAGGGTTTAGGGTTTAGGGCTCAGGAAGGCTCGCCTTGGACTCCCCCGAAGAGGTAGATTGGGTGCCCAGAGAGCCCAAGACCCCTTAATTTAGGGAAGAGACCTTAAATCATATAGGGATTCTTAGTAGGATTTAAGGCATATTCCTCAGTTTTGGGGGTATGGGGCTCCTCTGGGTGAGCAAGATAAAGCACTAGGCTTGCCTACATGGCCTAGTAGGGTTTAGGGTTGAGGGTGCAAGCCTCATGCTGCTTTTCTTCGACTGGACTATGAAGCTTCCGCGCGAGGGTTTCCAAGGGTCCTTGTAGCAGCAAGACTTTCTTTATATGCGGTTAACCTATTCAAACGGCCTTCTTCTGGTTCTTCAAGCTGTAAGGAATGTACAGAAAAAAACCCAGCAACCAGGGTCCCTAAACCCTAAACCCAAAACCTAAATCCTAAACCCTAAACCCCAAACCCTGAACCCATAATCCCCAGATTGGCCTTTCGGATCTGATGCTCGCAGAATCAAGTTTCGATGCTCCTGCATGACACTCTCCGGGGATGCCTTGTGAGAAGGTTTCAGGAACCAACTGTCGATAAGTGAGTCTCTGATCCCTACTCAGGTCCTACTCATATTCGTGAAACGGTCTTCTCGAAGTTATCCCTATTTCATATAGGATCAAAATGCCAGTTGCAACGGATCACTAAGCCCCACGAACCTTGCCTGAAGAGCCCAGAGGGTGGGGATTTCAATCTTGTATAGGCTTTCTCCGCAGCAACCTGCACCCAAGGAGAAGTTGGTCTCCTTTAGGGTTTGGGGTTTAGGGTTTAGGGTTTAGGAGCCCAACTGAATACTCGCCGCAGCCTCGTTTGGCTCGGATCGGTTCGCCAGTTTGTCCATTGATAGCTCGGCTGAGCGGGCGGCATGGGCGCCAACAAAGTGGCCGCGGCCCTACTTCGCCAAATTTTTGGGTTTTACAGTAACCTCCAAAGAAGTTGGAACAGCCAAAGGGGGCCCTGGGTTTGGGTCTTACAGTAAACTCCAAAAGAAGTTGGAGCATCCTCATCCCCATACCCCAAAAGGCATCCCACAGTGAATCCCAAAGCTTGGAGGTTCCTGGGTGCTTTTCGCCCCAATTACAAGTGGGCTTTGTAAGTACAGTTTTAATTGGGGTTCTAAAGTAGCTGATAAGTACAGTTATCCTTGGGGTTATCAAGCACCCTGAACCTCCAAGAGGGGGCTTTGGGTTTGGGTTTTCCCTTATATAGTCCCTATATACCTAAGTAGCCCCCAAATTAACCCCCCAAATAACCCTTATAAGGGTCTCCTTTAGTGCTTCGGGGCTTGGGGTTTTGCATGGTGGCGATGTTGGCTTGCCGCGCCGTGCCATTCTGAGGTGCAGAAGTCCAAGGAGGCCAAGATGAAGGCCGCCATGGCCGGCGGAAAGTCCCGCAAGAAGAAGTGGGCCAAGGGCAAGGCGCGGTCTCAAAGCTGGGAGGAGGAGGTTGGTGCCTGAGTGCAAAGCTGTGTGGTGTCAGGTCAAGGAGAAGCTGGCCAACCTCGTCATGTTCGACAAGGTGCGCGGGAGCACAGGTCCTAGGCTGGCGGTGGCTCAGCGCCGTATGTATGCATCTGTCAGGCAACGTATGACAAGATGCTGAAGGAGATCCCGAAGGCCATGGCTCTTCTGCACCTGACATCGGGCTTGCAGGATCTTGTAGAGTCCGAACTTGCCAGGCCAAGCTGATCACTCCGTCCGTTGTCAGCGAGAGGCTGAAGGTGAACGGCTCCGTTGCCCGAGTTGCCATCCGACACTTGGAGGTGCGGCTTGGGTCGATGTTGAAGCTGCTGCTGACACCCCTGTTGCTGTGTCAACCTTCGCTTGCAATGGGGATGTTCCCCCGTATACTAACAGTCTGTCATCGGGATTCTAATTTGGGGGTACTATGATCCCTGTTAAGGGCTGGGGAGTATAAGGGGGGAACATCCCAAGTTTGCAATGTGGGGGCTTACGAAAATAAGGGGCCCGTTTGTGCTTCTTGCGTGCAGGAGAAGGGGATGATTGCTCATGTCGGAGAGAAGCTTCTTGGCGTGCACGTTTAGGGTTTAGGGTTTAGGGTTTAGGATTTAGGGTTTAGGGTTTGGGGTTTAGGGTTTAGGGTGCCTACGCATGGCAATAGGCACATACCTGGTCTGGCACTAAAGAGAAGATCTAGAATCGCAAAACCCAATACCTCGGGATGTCCCCCCTTATGCTAACAGTCCTTAATAGGGATTATAGTACCCCCTATAAGCAAAAGGGGGAAAATCCCAACCAATACTCCTCTTAACACAACTTATGAATTCGTAAGCCCTGAAACCTCTTCCTTGTTACTTTGTGCTTAAGAACAAACCCCAAAATACTCCAAAGATTGCCCTTACGAGGAAGTCTTTCCTTCTGTTTTAAGGGGGTTTCTTAAGCAAGTAGTAGCTCAAGAAGAGGGTTTTGGGGGCTCAGTCGGGGACGTCGCTGCAGGTCGAGCAAGCAGATGATCTACACCCGCAAGATCGGCGGCGGGGAGGAGCTGTATACCCTAAGCCCCAGGTTTCTTAAGCAAATAGTAGATGCTCCATCATACCTTGGACCCCAGCTAGTGATCCATTCCTCATGCGGTCCAACCGGTAGAGTGACTTTCCCACAAGTTAAGGGCAAACTAAACCCTAAACCCCAAGCCCCGAACCCCAAACCCTCAACCCTAAACCCCAAACCCTAAACCCCAAACCCTAAACCCCAAACCCCAAACCCTCTCGAAGCTGGCCGGATCCGAAGTATGGGCCTGCAGTTTGGCAGATTGTCCCGTGTTTGTGGTGGGAACTCTCAGGGCACTTCTTCTTAGTAGCTGAGTGAGCACACTTTTTAGGGTTTAGGGTTTAGGGTCTAGGGTTCAGGGTTTAGGGTTAATCCCCTATAGAGCTGAAAGTGTACACTTCTTTGAGGCTTACGAACTCAGCAACTAAGTCGTTTTTTGGACCCAAGTGTTGGGATGTTCCCCCTTTTACTAAGAGTGCTTAGTAGGGATCGTGGTACCCCTCTATGAGAATCCCTATGAAGGACTGTGAGTTTCAGGGGGAACATACCAACCCTAAGCCCTAAGCCCTAAACCCTAAACCCTAAACCCTAAACCCTAAACCCTACACCCTAAACCCTAAACCCTTTACCCTAAACCCTAAACCCTGACCCCTTAACCCTAAACCCCAAACCCCAAACCCCAAACCCTAAACCCTAAACCCTAAGCCCACCTGGCCCATGCAGGACTGAGGAGTTGGGTTTGGAGACCACGCGCGTGCCGAGCAGAAAGCACGAGAGGGTTCTTGGGGCTAGGAGTTTGAGTCTTGCGTAATACCCTGAACCCTGAAACCGAACCCTCAATCCTAAACCCTGGTCCCCAAGCCCTAAACCCGAGTGAGTTAGGCTTTACAGTAAGCCTCAAAAAGTTGAAACATCCTTATCCTCATACCCCAAATGGTGTACTAACTGGAATCTCATCCTTAAAGCGTGTTCCAACTTTCTGGAGTTATAACTGTACTTATAACCATATTAGGGCACTTAAGGGGCTTATAAGTGGGTTAGAAGTACACTCATAACTGGTTACTAAGTACCCGGAACCTCCAAGTAGACCCCAAAAACCCTAAACCCCTAAAAGCCCGAACCCCCAAAACCGCAAGACCCTCAACACCCTCCTAAACACCAGCCCTGCAGGGCCCGAGCTTGAGAGTCAGAGCCCCTGAAGCCCTGGTTCTTGCCCTCCCAAAAACCCCTAAGGGTTTAGGGTTTAGGGTTTAGGGTTCAGGGTGTCGGGTTTAGGGTTTGACCCTGGGTGCGTGAAGTGGGTCTGGTTCTGCCCGGCGCGCGCCCCTTCAGAACCCTGTAAAGAAGGCAAGGGACCACATTGAGGGACCATAGAGAGCTGGTCCTAGGTCCTTAAAGGAGAGCCATGGGCTCGGGTCAAACTCCCCCCCTCAGAACCCGAGAGGCTTCCGGTTCGGGCGCCCTAAGCCCCAGACTCCAACTCTCCGCAGCCCCGAAACCCTAAATCCCAAATTCCCAAACCCTAAACCCTAAACCCTAAACCCTAAACCCTAAACCCTAAACCCTAAACCCTAAACCCTAAACCCTAAACCCAAAAGAGCATAATATCTTTTTAGAACTTCCCCCCCCCCCCCCCCCCCCCCCCCCCCCCCCCCCCCCGGCATATGAGAGATTGAAGCCCTCAGCCCTGTAAGCCCCGCCTGAGTTCATAAAGCCCCGTAAGCCCTGTGTAAACCATGTCAGCTTTGTCTTAAACCCTAAACCCCAAACCCTAAACCCTAAACCCTAAACCCTAAACCCTAAACCCCAAAACCCTAAACCCCAAAACCCTAAACCCTAAACCCTAAACCCTCGCGGCTTGGCAGCCCGGGTTTGGGCTCGGCAGCACTGGCGAAGAACTTGGTGGGGCGGCCTCTGTTCCCCGGAAAGCCGCGAGAATGGGCGCGAACAAAGTGGCCGGGTCTCCCAGGGGGGTTGAGGTGTGGAGTTAAGGGGCTGGGGGTTAGGGGGTTTAGGGTTTAGGGTTTGGGGTTTAGGGTTTAGGGTTTGAAGTTAGGAGTCTAGGGCTTGGAGTTTAGAGTTTAGGGTCAAGGATTTCAGGCTGAGGGCTTAGGATGCAGGGTTTAGGGTTGACTGTCAGAGTCAGATTTGACAGGTTTTGGCGTTTAGGGTGCAGCTGAGCCGCGTGCTTTGTTGTTTCGCATCCTCCTGCATTCCTGCGTCTTAGGTGCAGAAGTCCAAGGAGGCCAAGATGAAGGCCGCCATGGCCGGCGGAAAGTCCCGCAAGAAGAAGTGGGCCAAGGGCAAGGCGCGGTCTCAAAGGTGGGAGGTGGGAGGAGGTTGCGGCCTGAGTGCAAAGCCGTGTGGTGTCAGGTCAAGGAGAAGCTGGCCAACCTCGTCATGTTCGACAAGGTGCGCGGGAGCACAGGTCCTAGGCCGGCGGTGGCGCAGCGCTGCATGCATCTGTCAGGCAACGTATGACAAGATGCTGAAGGAGATCCCGAAGGCCATGGCTCTTCAGCACCTGACATCGAAGAACAGGAAGAGCAAGCACTGATGAAGATGGCAGGCTGGCAGAATCTTGTAGATGCCGAACTTGTGAGGCCAAGCTGATCACTCCGTCCGTCGTCAGCGAGAGGCTGAAGGTGAACGGCTCTGTTGCCCGAGTCGCCATCCGACACTTGGAGGTGCGGCTCGGGTCGATATTGGAACTGAAAGGTCGTTTGTGCTGTCAATGCCTTTAGGACTGCCTGTTTGCAGGAGAAGGGGATGATTGCTCATGTCGGCGAGAAGCATCTCGGTATGCACACACGTTCTTCTTAAGCAGCACCAGGGACCCCAAATACGTCATAATTATGGAATCTGCCTTAGCTACGTAGGAGTCCCTCTACCCTAGGGGTCCATGTACCTAATTCTGGAGTTCTTGGGCCCTACAGTACCTCCTATATAGGGACTAAAGAGCCCAAGTAGAGGATAATGAGGTACATGGACCCTTAAGGGTTTAGGGTTTAGGGTTTAGGGTTTAGGGTTTAGGGTTTAGGGATTCAGGCCCATTCTTTACTGAAGCGGTATAGGGCTCTCTGGGGATGTGCAGGTCGAGCAAGCAGATGATCTACACTCGTAAGATCGGCGGAGGGGAGGAGCCACTTGTAACGAGTCTGGCGGTCATTTGAGGGTTAAGCCGAAACCCTGAACCCTAAACCCGAAACCCTAAACCCGAAGCCCTAAACCCGAAACCCTAATCCCTAACCCTAAGCCCTAAAGCGCCTAAACCCTAAACCCTAAACCCTAAACCCTAACCCTAAACCCTAAACCCTAAACCCTAAACCCTAAACCCGAACCCCTAAACTCGAAACCCTAGCCGACAACCCCACACCCCCTGCAGGACTGAGAGCTGCCCCTGGAGACGGCGAGCGCCTGCCGAGCAGAAAATGCGAGAGTGAGCGGCGTGCTTTCGGGGGGATTGGGAGCTCGGCAGTACCCCTAAACCCTACACTCTACAGCCTAAACCCTAAGCCCTAAACCCGAAACCCTAAACCCTAAACCCTAAAACCCCAAAACCCTAAACCCCAAAACCCTAAACCCTAAAACCCTAAACCTAAACCATAAAACCCCTAAAACCCCTAAAACCCCTAAAACCCCTAAAACCCCTAAACCCTAACCCCTAAAACCCCTAAAACCCCTAAAACCCCTAAACCCCTAAAACCCCTAAAACCCCTAAAACCCCTAAAACCCCTAAAGCCCCTAAAGCCCCTAAAACCCCTAAAACCCCTAAAACCCCTAAAACCCCTAAAACCCCTAAAACCCCTAAAACCCCTAAAACCCCTAAAACCCCTAAAACCCCTAGAACTCTAAAACCCCTAAACCCCTAAACCCCTAAACCCCTAAACCCCTAAACCCCTAAACCCCTAAACCCTAAACCCTAAACCCTAAACCCTAAACCCTAAACCCGAAACCCGAAACCCTAAACCCTAAACCCTGAACCCTAAACCCTCGGAGCCCCTCAACACACCGGCGCCGCCTCCGGCAGAGCCACGGCTCCGGCTCGACGTCAGCCTCCCCTCCCCCCCCGGTGCGAAGGATGGGGGCGAACAAGGTGGCCGGAGGCCAAGGGTTTAGGGTTTAGGGTTTAGGGTTTAGGGTTTAGGGTTTAGGGTTTAGGGTTTAGGGTTTAGGGTTTAGGGTTTAGGGTTTAGGGTTTAGGGTTTAGGGTTTAGGGTGCAGCTCAGCCGGCTTCAGGCCACGTTTTCGACTTTCTTAGGGTTTTAGCTTCTTGCATTTTTCTCAGGGTTTTGGTGGTTTGCTTTTAGGGTTTAAACCCTAAACCCTAAACCCTAAACCCGAAACCCTAGGAAGCCCTAAACCTCTTCGTTTTTTTTTTTTTTTTTTGGGGGGGGGGGGGGGGGGGCTTCAGGGGTGCATGCTTGGGACTTGGGACATTTTCTTGTTGTTGGGTTCCTCCCATGGCCTTATTGCGGGGCTTGTTGAAAACGAACACCCCTGCTACCAGTGGGACCTCTACCGAGTTCACAAGGGTTTAGGGTTTTAGGGTTTAGGGTTTTAGGGTTTAGGGTTTTAGGGTTTTAGGGTTTAGGGTTGAGAGTTTGGGGTTTATGAAGGGGTACAAGGAGGGACTCCCTAGAAGGGGCCCATGAGCTTGTTATACAACCCCCATGTTTACCTTATAAAGTCCTTATATACCTAAGTAGCCCCTAACTAAGCCCTAAAGAACCCCTAAGGCGTCCCTTGGGTGAGCCTCGAGCTCTGCTTTGGCCTCCCCTCCTGCTTTCGCACCCCAAACCCCAAACCCCAAACCCCAAACCCCAAACCCCAAACCCCAAACCCCAAACCCCAAACCCCAAACCCCAAACCCCAAACCCCAAACCCTAAACCCTAAACCCTAAACCCTAAACCGAGGTCCAGAAGTCCAAGGAGGCCAAGATGAAGGCCGCCATGGCCGGCGGCAAGTCCCGCAAGAAGTCGCTCGACCATTAGCCCTAAACCCTAAACCCTAAACCCGAAACCCTAAACCCTAAACCCTAAACCCTAAACCCGAAAACCCTAAACCCTAAACCCTAAACCCTAAACCCTAAACTCTACGCCCTCAACCCGAAGCCCTAAGCCTTAAGCCCCGAACTTAGCATTTGCTGAAGAACCTCCCCGCAAACTAGAAGATAACAATCCCTATATTCCTCTTATATATGGACATATACATATATGTATATATATATATATACATATATGTATATATATGTATATATATATATATATATTTACACATGTATATCGATGTTTTTTTTTGCGGGTTTCTGAAGCAAATAGTAGGAACCCTGACATGCCTAAACGCTGAGCCAACTCTAGTTTAGGGTTTAGGGTTGAGGTCGCATCTGTCCTCGGGACGTTTCAAGCTAGCAGTGTCTGCAGTTTAGGGTTGAGGGTTTAGGGTTTAGGGTTTAGGGTTTAGGATTTAGGGTTTAGGGTTTCGGGTTTAGGGTTTGACCTTCTGCAAGCCCTAGACCAAGCCCCTGAACTTGAAATCCCAAGCTCGAGATCGTTCATGCAAGTCCGGCTTTTTTGAGCTGCAAGAAAATACTGTCAGGGGTTTAGGGGTTTAGGGGTTTAGGGTTTAGGGTTAGAACCCCCCCCCGCCAAAAAAAGATGTATATATATATATATATGTATATATTCTGCCTTATATACTGCCACACCCGGCGGTGGACAAAGAGCCGCGAAAACCTAAGTCCTGAACCCTACATTCCTGGAAGACCCTAAGAGAAAGAGCCCTGAACAAAGAAAAACCCTAAACCCTAAACCCTAAACCCTAAACCCTAAACCCTGAACCCCTGACCCCTGAACCCTGAACCCTGAACCCTGAACCTAAACCCTAAACCCTAAACCCTAAACCCTAAACCCTAAACCCATTGACCCCCAAATGCTTTTGGACAAGCCAAGGAAGTGGGCCAAGGGCAAGGCCGATTGTCTCAGGGCAATCTATGGTTTCCCCAAAGGAAGAGTGAAAGGGGAGTATAGAAATTTTGCGGGTTTTCGGGTTTGAGGGTATCAGAAGCAGCTTTGGCCCAGGGTTTCGGGTTTAGTAAGGGGGGTGAAAGTTCGGGCTCAAAGGCTTCAGGGTTCAGGATGTAGGGTTGAGGGGTCTGCTCAGCGGATCCAAACTTCATCCCTAAGTTTGCACCCTAAACCCTAAACCCTAAACCCTAAACCCTAAACCCTAAACCCTAAACCCTAAACCCTAAACCCTAAACCCTGAACCCGAAACCCTAAACCCTAAACCCTAAGCACTTAAACTCCAAACTCAGGCATGGCTGGTGGGGGGGCTTCGCCCCGCCCCCACCAGCCGAACCGCCTGACGTATGTCTGTTTAGGGCATCCCACCTACGAAGCACTTGCCATGTGGCAAAACACTGTCGCACTGCAACGACTCAGCCGCGCCACCGCTAAGCATAGGGGCAGCTTGGCCTAACCCCTGAACCCTGAACCCTAAACCCTACACCCTAAACCCTACACCCTAGGCTCCCCCTCAATTTTCGAAACCATTATCGCTGAATCATGTTCCCAAACCATATACGTATATGACTTACGTAGCCCAAAATCATATTCCTAGATCATATACACATATGATTTAGCGAATAGGGTTTAGCGAATGTGGCTTATCAATATGATTTCGGAGTATGAAATTGGCGCGAAACCATTTTCGTATATTGTTTAGGAATATGATTTCGGAATCTGGTTTAGCGAATATGGTTTAGGAATATGATTTAGCGAACATTTTATTTCGGAATGTGAGTTAGGCATTCATGGGGGGTGCCCCAGGATCTGGCGAAACGGGGTCGATTTGTAATGCAGTTATGAACAGACTTTTCATGACAGAAATGGCCCCCTGATTTTTCAGACTTGGGGTTCTCCCAAATCATATTCCTAAATCGTATTCGTAGATGATTCAGCGGCTAAACTAGAAACGTATATGATTTTGGAGTATGATTTAGCGAATATGGTTTAGGAAAATGATTTAGCAAATATGATTTCGGAATCTGATTTAGGCGGTCATGGGGAGCAAGCACCCCAGGATTTGGCCCCTGATTCTTCAGATTTAGGGCTCTCCCAAATTGTATTCCTAAATCATATTCGTACATGATTTAGCGCCTAAAACATATACGTATAAAATTTACGAATAGCATGTAGCGAAAATGGCTTAGCAGTATGATTTAGCGAATATGATTAGGAACATGGTTAAGGAATATGATTTAGGCGCCCATGGGGGGTGCCCTAGGATTTGGCGAAAGGGAGTCGAGTTGTACTGAAATTATGAACAGGTTTTAATGACAGAAATGAACCACTGATTTTTCAGATTGAGGGCTCTCCCAAATCATATTCCTAAATCGTATTCGTGTATGATTCAGCGCCGAAACAGTATGCGATTTTGATTTAGGGGCCCATGAGAGGTACCCCAGGATTTGGTGAAAAGGCATCGAGTTGGAATGATATCATGAACAGATTTCAATGACAGAAATGACTCCCTGATTTTTCAGATTTGGGGCTCTCCCAAATCATACTCCCAAATCACCAAATCATACTCAGTAACCATCCTCGAGAGAACGATGCACTTGTAGCCGCATCCAACTCAAAGCTCCAGCTAGCCCTGTGTTAGGGTTTAGGGTTTCGGGTTTAGGGTTTAGGGTTCAGGGTTTAGGGTTGAGGGTTGAGGGTTTAGTATTTAGGAATGAACCACTGATTTTTCAGATTGAGGGCTCTCCCAAATCATATTCCTAAATCGTATTCGTGTATGATTCAGCGCCGAAACAGTATGCGATTTTGATTTAGGGGCCCATGAGAGGTACCCCAGGATTTGGTGAAAAGGCATCGAGTTGGAATGATATCATGAACAGATTTCAATGACAGAAATGACTCCCTGATTTTTCAGATTTGGGGCTCTCCCAAATCATACTCCCAAATCACCAAATCATACTCAGTAACCATCCTCGAGAGAACGATGCACTTGTAGCCGCATCCAACTCAAAGCTCCAGCTAGCCCTGTGTTAGGGTTTAGGGTTTCGGGTTTAGGGTTTAGGGTTCAGGGTTTAGGGTTGAGGGTTGAGGGTTTAGTATTTAGGAATGAACCCCTGATTTTTCAGATTGAGGGCTCTCCCAAATCATATTCCTAAATCGTATTCGTGTATGATTCAGCGCCGAAACAGTATGCGATTTCGATTTAGGGGCCCATGAGAGGTACCCCAGGATTTGGTGAAAAGGCATCGAGTTGGAATGATATCATGAACAGATTTCAATGACAGAAATGACTCCCTGATTTTTCAGATTTGGGGCTCTCCCAAATCATACTCCCAAATCATATTCCCAAATCATACTCAGTAACCATCCTCGAGAGAACGATGCACTTGTAGCCGCATCCAACTCAAAGCTCCAGCTAGCCCTGTGTTAGGGTTTAGGGTTTCGGGTTTAGGGTTTAGGGTTCAGGGTTTAGGGTTGAGGGTTGAGGGTTTAGTATTTAGGGTTTAGGGCTTCAAGGTGTCTAGGAGGGTATAGGGGTTACGTTTGCCAGAAGTTTCAAGTGCTCCGGGGCACGCCCTGCAACGCCGCTTGGGGAGGTCAAGGAGAAGCTCGCGAACCTGGTCATGTTCGACAAGGTTCTGGGGTTTCGGGGTTTAGGGTTTAGGGCTTTACAGGGCATTCGCAGGGCCAGCAGGGCTTAGTTTGTTTGTGTGTTCAGGCAGTCGTTCCGGCTCTGGGGCTTTGTCGCGGCGTTATGACAGGGTTATGACAGGGTTTAGAGTTTTGGGTTAAGGGTTAAGGGTTTAGGGTTTAGAGTTTGCGTAGGGCGTCGTAGAATGTTGAATTTAGCAGCATCATATTGTTTTGAGCTGGGTAGGGTTCAGGTTTTGGGGTTGAAGGCTCGGAAGCCCTGACTGGGTACCCTTTATTGGAATTTCTTCCCTTACTCTATCCCGAACCCCTCACCCCTAAACCCTAAACCCTAGACACTAAACCCGTAACCCTAAACCCTAAACCCGTAACCCGTAACCCGTAAACCCCAAACCCTGAACCTTAAACCCTCAACCCTATCATAGCGGCCTGGCGAGAAATCCCTTATTGGAAGCCCCGGGCTCCCAAGGGAACCCTAAACCCTAAACCCTAAACCCTAAACCCTAAACCCTAAACCCTAAACCCTAAACCCTAAACCCTAAACCCTAAACCCTAAACCCTAAACCCTAAACCCTAAACCCTAAACCCTAAACCCTAAACCCTAAACCCTAAAACCCTAAACCCTAAACCCTAAACCCTAAACCCTAAACCCTTAACCCTGAACCCTAAACCCTGAACCCTAAACCCTAAACCCTAATCCCCAAACCCACAAGCCCCAGAGTCCTGAAGTCCAACTTGGCTTGGAGTTTGGGGTTTAGGGTTTAGGGTTTTAGGGTGCGGGGTAGTTACATGGCCCCTTGGTATGGGCCCTTAACAGGGTGCCCCTATGTATCCCTTATGTACCCCATACAAAACGCAAGGGCCCATACTTCAGCACCCTTTAAAGGAGGTGAGGGACCATATTAAGGGCCCATGTAATTACCCTCCAGAGGCGGTTTAGGGTTAGGGTTTAGGGTTAGCTTGGTGAGCTGCCACGCAGGCCACCTACGACAAGATGCTGAAGGAGATTCCCAAGGCGGGCACGCGAACCCTCATTCGCAAAACCCTAAACCCTAAACCCTAACCCTAAACCCTAAACCCTAAACCCCAAACCCTAAGCCCTAAACCCTAAACCCTAAACCCGAAGCGCTAAACCCTAAACCCTAAACCCTAAACCCTAAACGAGCCCCGAAGCCCTAGGCCCCTACACTTTCGCGATTGCACCCTTGAGCCGAAGATCCACATACTGTGAATTTTTCTGATGCTGGAGGGGGAGTGAGTCGTTCAACGACGTTCCCGTTTAGGGTTTAGGGTTTAGGGTTTAAGGTTTAAGGTTTAAGGTTTAGGGTTTCGGGTTTAGGGGTTAGGGTTTCGGGTTTGGGTAGGGTTTAGAGAACGAAGGGATCAAGCTCGGGCATGCGGGGGCTTCTCCATGTGATCCGTTTTGAAAAATTATGGTCCCTTTTTTTGGGCACCCCCTACCAACGATCCTCTTCAAAGCCTCACCCGTAGCCGCCCCCCTGCAGACCCCTAAACCCTACACCCTTCACCCCACAACCCTAAACCCGAAACCCTAAGCCCTAAACCCTAAACCCTAAACCCCATACGGTCATCTACTGCAGCCACAGGGAAGGGATCGAGCTTAGGATAGCCAGCAAGGAAGGAACGTCATGCTGAGCTTGGTTCTCATTCACTTCTCTGCATCAGGGGTCCCTTTTGGGGATAGAGTGCCCAAAAGCATGACCATAATATGGTCACTTCTCGAAATTAAGGCCTTTGGGGATGCGATGGAAAGGCGGCCCCTTCCTTTTGTCCCTGTAGAAGATTTTGCTTGACCTATAAAGCATTGTCGGCCAGCCGAGGCTACCCTTCGGAGAAGGGGTTTAGGGTTTTGGGTTTTGGGTTTTGGGTCTAGAGTAGCTGCTGCACAGGGAGGGGATACCGGAACGCAGAGAGTCCGCCAGGCGAAGCTGATCACTCCCTCCGTCGTCTCTGAGCGCTTGAAGGCGAGCCATGTGGAGAACCCCAAGCCCTAAACCCTAAGCCCTAAGCCCTAAACCCTAAACCCTAAACCCTAAACCCTAAACCCTAAACCCTAAACCCTAAACCCTAAACCCTAAACCCTAAACCCTAAACCCTCAACCCCAAACCCTAAACCCTAAACCCTAAACCCTAAACCCTAAACCCTAACAACTAAACCTACACCCACAAAGGGGGTTCGCGTAGGATTTCGGGCTTTTGGATGTGGGGCCTACAGGCCACAACCCCAAACCCTAAGCCCTCACCCAAAAAGGTTTAGGGTTTAGGGTTTAGGGAGCCTGGCTTAGCAGCATGGGCTGGCCCAAATCCTCCCTTCCCCCTAACTGAATTGGCGCACCCTAAACCCTAAACCCTAAACCCTAAACCCTAAACCCTAAACCCTAAACCCTAAACCCTAAACCCTAAACCCTAAACCCTAAACCCTGAACCCTAAACCCTTGACCCTTGACCCTAAACCCTAAACCCTAAACCCTAGACCCTAAACCCTAAACCCTAAACCCGACACCCTAAACCCTAAGCCCAAACTTTCCCCAAACCCTACGGCCTTAAGCCAAGCCTCAAGGTGAACGGCTCCGTGGCCCGTGTGGCGATCCGACACCTTGAGGACCTCACGTGAGACTCCTTCTACAGGATGTTGGTTTTTTGGGGGTTTTGGGGTTTTGGGGTTTTGGGGTTTTGGGGTTTTGGGGTTTTGGGGTTTTGGGGTTTTGGGGTTTTGGGGTTTTGGGGTTTTGGGGTTTTTGGGTTTTGGGGTTTTGGGGTTTTGGGGTTTTGGGGTTTTGGGGTTTTGGGGTTTTGGTTTGGGGTTTTGGGGTTTTGGGGTTTTGGGGTTTTGTTTTTTTGGGGGTTTTGGGGTTTTGGGGTTTGGGGGTTTTGGGGTTTGGGGTTTTGGGGGTTTGGGGTTTTTGGGGTTTCATGGGTTCACGATTTGGGGTCTTAGGGCTTTAGGGTTCAGGGTTTAGGGCTTAGGGCTTTAGGGTTAACCCTAAACCCCGAAAGCCCCTAGAACCCCAAAAGCCCCTAAAGCCGCCTAAAGCCCGTAAAGCCCCTCAAACCCCTAAATCCCTAAACCCCTAGAACCCGCAAAGCCCCTAAACCCCTAACCCCGAAAACCCAAAACCCGAAACACTTTCAGGGGGCGAGGGTGTTGGGGTTTGAAGCCATCCGCCCGGAGCCCTACAACAGGAGAAGAACATGATCATGCACGTGGGGGAGAAGCGCCCCTGCTGCAGTTGGCAAGAAGCCCAAACACCCTAAGCGCAGGACCCAAAGCCCCAGACATTGAGGGGTATAAGGAGGGACCCCTTAGAACGGACCCTTAATCTTGTTCCCCGATATGACCCCTATATATACATATATATATATATATTTACATATATATATACACACATATATATAGATGTATATATGTATATATATATATACCTTATAGAGTCCCTATATACCTAAGTATCCCCTAAAGAACCCCTGAAAAACCCCAAGGTCCCTTATAAGGGTCCCTCCTTTAGTCCCTTGAAGACAACCGAAGCCCAAAGCCCCAAACACGCCCTGGCCAAGATGAGGCACTTGGTATGGCTAAAGTCAGGCCGTACTTGTAATCCCCGAACCCGTAAACCCTAAAAGGAGGTAAGCCCTAAACCCTAAACCCTAAACCCTAAACCCTAAACCCTAAACCCTAAACCCTAAACCCCAAACCCCAAACCCCAAACCCTAAACCCTAAACCCCAGAAGGAGGTACCCTCAGGCCCCGTGTGATCGCCAGGTCCAGCAAGCAGATGATCTACACACGCAGGATTGGCGGCGGCGAGGAGCCCTCTGCCTGGCTGTGGGTTTTAGGGTTTTGGGGCTGCTGGGGTTTAGGGTTTAGGGTTTAGGGTTTAGGGTTTAGGGTTTAGGGTTGGCTTGGGGTTTGGGGTAACCTTAAACCCTAACCCCCTAACCCTAAACCTTGCGGTTCTCTGAAAAGTTTAGACAGTCCTAAAGCTTGTAGCCAACCCTTGGAATTCTAAGCCCTGCGCCTCAAGCCCTACTAAAGGGGCCGGAATAATTACTCATAGTCTCCCCTCATGGTCCCGTTTTGAAGAAGCGACAATCCCCCACCCACCCCCCCCTCCCCCCCCCCCCCCCCCAAAAAAAAAAAAAACAAACAAGAAGAAAAAACCCTATTCTAATTATTAAGGCACCTAGCCCCGAAGCTCTGCGAGACCTCAACAATCGAGTGAATGCAGGCCCCAGGCTGGTTGTTGCTAGGGCATGAGGGAATGAAGGCCCATAGAATCCCTAACAAGGGGTATCATGTAGGGGCCTCAAGAATTAGGATAGGGCTTTGGGGGTGATTGGAGTCTAGTCATACAGGGACCATAAGGGGGAGACTGCTGGTGATTTTTCCCGACTCCTGTGTTCTATAGGGCCCTCATTCCCTACTAAGAACCAGGAGGGGCGTTCGGGGTGCAGAACCCCCCCCCCCCCCCCAACTACGAATGCTCAAGGCCCCCCACCCCCCCCCCCCCCCCCCCACAAAAAAAAAAAAAAGATAAACATTCTTGCCCCCTAACTACTAATTGCTTAAGACCGCCAGAAAACACAAGATGTTTATAAGGGTATTGTATCTACTAGTATTTGTTATTCTTTTTGGGTTCTTAAGCAAATAGTAGCTAAACCAGCCGTGAGCCGGCAGGACTGAGCACGACCCTCAACCCGGGCGGATGGAAGCTGGGGTCAACAAGAGCGGTGCACAGGGCTTAGGGTTTTAGGGTTTAGGGTTTAGGGTTCAGGGTTTGGGGTTTAGGGTTTAGGGTTTAGGGGTTTCGGGGTTAGGGTTTAGGGTCTGGGGCGGTGTACTCCTAGACGGGAAGGGTTTTGGGGTTTAGGGTTCGTTTGCCCTAGAAGGGATTTCTGGTCCTGGGGGTTGCTACCTACAAGGGGTATCTAGGGCTGATCCGACCCCAAAACCTGAACCCCATGCTACCTTGTCTAACCACCATAGGTGTAATACATCACTTCGTGTGGACAAACTGTACTTGAGTATAGTCCCCAATGGTAGGGAACCCGTGACGCCAAAACCTATGCCAAATTTGGCCGTAAACCCGCGATCCTCAACCCTCAACCCTCAACCCTCAACCCTCAACCCTCAACCCTCAACCCTCAACCCTCAACCCTCAACCCTCAACCCTCAACCCTCAACCCTCAAACCTCAACCCTCAACCCTCAACCCTCAACCCTCAACCCTCAACCCTCAACCCTCAGCCCCTGAACGCTAGACCCTCCCAAGCCTGAAACCACCCGGCGCAATGTAAGCCACAGTCCTCCCCCGACTTACTCGGCCAAGAACTGAACTTTAAACGTTTTGGGGTCCCTTATTTAGTTGTACCCTAAACCCTAAACCCTAAACCCTAAACCCTAAACCCTAAACCCTAAACCCTAAACCCTAAACCCTAAACCCTGAGACCTAAGCCCTAAACCCTAAACCCTAAACCCTAAACCCTAAACCCTAAACCCTAAACCCCAAACCCTAAACCCTAAACCCTAAACCCTAAACCCTAAGCCCTTTTTGTTCCCCTTGGTTCTTGGAGAAGTAAGCCGAAGTTGCGTCATGTTTTGCGCACGCCGCTTCCTTGCAAGAAGGCTCCAGCTGCCAACCCGGGAGCCGTGATTTAGGGTTGAGGGTTTAGGGTTTAGGGTTTAGGGTTTAGGGTTTAGGGTTTAGGGTTTAGGGTTTAGGGGGCATGGCACCTCCCCCCTTCTCTCATCGTCATCCAGATTTATCAGTTTTCACAATCAGCGTTCTTATCATGGCGAGAACCTTAAGCCCTCAGCCCTCCTTTCGGATTATCGGGTTCAGGGTTTAGGGTTTAGGGTTTAGGGCTTAGGGTTTAGGGTTTAGGGTTTAGGGTTTGGGTAATCTTCTTCACGGCTCCGCACACCTACGTGCACTTGACATGGATGTCACGGAATCGCCCCTGGGCCAGGGGCGGGTGCGGTCCTCGAAGAACCGTGGAGGGTGCTGGTCCAGGGAGCTGTTTAGGGGTTCAGGGTTAAGGGTTTCGGGTCAAGGGTTTAGGGTTTCGGGTTTAGGGTAAGGGTTTAGGGTTTAGGGTTTAGGGTTTAGGGTTTAGGGTTTCGGGTTTAGGGTAAGGGTTTAGGTTTAGGGACGTTCGTCCTGTTTAGGATGATGACACGGAGGCTCCATCTCTCGTGGCCTGGGCTCGAGCATGATAAGAGGGTACCTAAATGAGGTCCTTATTATAAGGGGGTCTTACTATTTGTGGGCCTATATTAGGGGTCCCCTATTTGCGGAAACCCTAAACCCTAAACCCTAAGCCCGAAACCCGAAACCCGAAACCCTAAACCCGAAACCCGAAACCCGAAACCCTAAACCCTAAACCCTAAACCCCAAACCCTAAACCCCCCAAAAGGTACCACAGTATGGTTCCTGGGCGAACCAGGAGGCTTTCAGCTACTGATTACGTCTAGGGTCCGGGTCGAAGCCCCCTAGCAGAGTACAGTCCTTGTCCTGAGCAGCCCTAAGCCGTAAACCCTAAACCCTAAACCCTAAGCCCTAAACCCTACACCCTAAACCCTAAACCCTAAACCCTAAACCCTAAACCCTAAACGCTAAAACCCTAAACCCTAAACCCTAAGCCCTAAACCCTAAACCCTAAACCCTAAACCCTAAACCCTAAACCCTAGGCCCTAAACCCTAAACCCTAAACCCTAAACCCTAAACCCTAATACGCCTTGAGCCTTTCAGCTCCAGTGCTGCGGTGACATAAAGACCCCAAGCCCCTAAACTCCTAAGCCAAACCCCAAGCCCTAAACCCTAAACCCTAAACCCCAAACCCCAATCCCCAAACCCCAAACCCCAAACCCTAACTACTGAACCCCAACCCCCCCAAATCCTAAACCCCAAGCCCGAAACCCTACTTCGGGTTCTGGGTGGTTAACCTTTAACCCTTTATGTAATAGAGAAATCTATTACAAATAAAAGGTTAGCCTTTTTTGGGCTAGCGATTTCGGCCCGAAACCCGACATCCTCAGCCCAAGGCCAAATCCGGGAGGACAGGCCCAAGCAGAGGCCAGGGCTCAGTGTTTCGGTGCAGCTCCTGAGCCGGCTAGGGACCTTAAACCCGAAGCTCCAAGCGGTTTGGGGGTTAGGGTAAAAGGGCAATAGGGTTGTAGGGGTTTAGGGGTTTAGGGCTATAGGGTTATAGGGTTAGAAGGTGATAGGGTTATAGGGTTATAGGGTTACAGGGTTCTTCAGCTATAAGGTTGAAGGGGCCGGGCTGCGGTTTGGAGCTTGGTTCTTGCCCCCGACAGGAAGCACGAAGGGACAAAACAGAGGCCAGATGGGGGGAGTGGGCGGGGGGTGGTGGGAGGCGATTGAGCCCCAAACCCAAACCCCAAACCCCCAACCCACACCCAAACCCCAACAACCCAACCCACAACCCCCAACCCCAAAACCCCAAATCCCTGAAGCCCGACTTCCTGACATACTACCCCCCTCTGGCGAGGGTTTAGGGCCTTAGGGTTTTTTGGGCCATGCGGTTTGGGCCCTCGGGTGTGGGACATAGGGTTTGGGGTTTAGGGGTCTAGAGTTTGGGGCATAGGGTTTAGGGCCCAATTTTTTCTGGGCATAGGGTTTCTACAAGTAGGGTTTGGGTCATAGGGTTTAGGGCCCTCGGGTTTGGGGCATAGGCTTTAGGGTCTGGGGTTCAGGGCCCTCGGGTTTAGGAACATTTGGGCAATTTTTTTGGGACATAGGGTTAAGGGCTCTTCTTCGGGAGCGGTCTTTTTTTTCTTCAGGAGCGGGTTAAGGGCTCTAGGGTTTGGGGCATAGGGTTTAGGGTCTAGGACCCTAACATTTGGGGCACATTGTGGGCTCTTGAGCTTGGGGCTTTAGGCCTTCTGGGAATGCATAGAGTGCACTTTAGGGTTTAGGGTTTAGGGTTTAGGGATTATTGGATTCTTGGGTGGGTGGGTTTATCTCCGATTCGCAAACACACTGCTTAACTGGTAAATGCCTGGACTTGAGATGCTGAACCCTAAGCCGTAATTCCTAAACCCTAAACTTCATATAAACCCGAAACTCTAAGCCCCAATCCTAAACTTAAGGCCTAAGCCCGAAATCATGTCTCCGTGAGCCGTGATGCCCCTTTGAGATACAGCCTTTACCCACGAAGTCCTCCAGAGGTTTCCTCCTTAAACAACCTTAATTCGGCTTCATTATCCCTAAATAGCCTTAATTAAAGGGGGGAACCTAGGGGGCGGGTAGTATAGACGGGGGTAGGGTTTAGGGTTTAGGGTTTAGGGTTTAGGGTTTAGGGTTTAGGGTTTAGGGTTTAGGGTTTACGGTTTAGGGTTTAGGGTTTAGGGTTTAGGGTTTAGGGTTTAGGGTTTAGGGGAACCCATGACTACTGGAGCTGCCGTGCCAGGCCGTGCAGGGCGGCTTCAGTCCAAGGCGGGCGGCTATAGGGTTGAGGGCACATGAACGCTTCGTTTAGGGCTTACGGTTTAGGGTTCAGGGTTTAGGGTTTAGGGTTTAGGGTTTAGGGTTACGGCCTGCAAGATGGATATCTGCGAAACAAAGTGACGTTATGGATGCAGACGCCGAGGTGCAGTCTTCCCGAGAGAGCAACGCCCGCGATTCGTCGAATGGTGCCCCGGATGCAACAGCTTCCCCTCAACCCTAAACCCTAAACCCTAAACCCTGAACCCTAAACCCTAAACCCTAAACCCTTCCTGAACCCGAAATCCGCCGAAAGCACTAACCCGCAAGCCGACCCCCGGCCAGGCCCAAGCGATGGGGTTGATTTTGGGTTCAGGACTCCGGCGACCGGCTCGCATAGCCATCCCTAGGAAAAGGAGTCCGCAAAGCTTCTCTTAGAGGCAGAATGTCACTCTTTCTTGTCCCAGCCTGCGGAAAGTTGCAAGGAGCCGACGCCGTCCAGGAGGAGGTTGCTCTGCAGACTTCTCATGATTGTTATTCCATGCATGTCCATGCGCCAGATCGGCCTTAGGCCTTGGTGTTGTTGGAGGGGATTCTCGGCGAACTTTTTTGGGGTTAGTGTGGGGGGTTCTTTGGCGGATTCTTGTGCGTTGCTTGTTGAGTTCAGGTCCTGCCGTTGGGGGTTCTTGGGGTTTTGGCACTATGCTGCTCGGAGAGTAGAGAGTGACATGGGGTCGTCACTGTGCAGCTGAGCCCAAGATCTCGTAGACGCATCCGGGAATCAGGGGCTGAAAGCCTGTTGGAGCCCATTCTTTGCAGGCAGCCGATCTCTCGGCCGAGAGGAGGCCTGGCAGGGAGCGGCTCACGTATCCCGCGTGCTTACTTTGGGCGAGAGGCGTGCCATCCGTGTCCGAGCTGTGCTTTGGCAGGGACCAGCCGAAGCACTACCCAAGTACCAACATCGACAACGCAGCCTGCCTAATTAGGGCGTGTTGGGATGCAGGAGGACAGAGCTGTGCGCAGCAGCCAAGGTGGAGTCTTTCGAAGAGAGCAACACCCGAGACTCGTCGAATGGTGCCCCGGATGCAATAGCGTCCTGAACCCGAAATGTGCTGAAAGCATCCCATCCCCCCCCCCCCCGCCACCTCGAACCCTCTGCGCTTGAGACCCGGAAGCCGACCCAGACCAGGCCCAACCGTTGGGGTTGAAGTCCAGGGCTTTTTGGGTTCAGGACTCCGGTGACCGGCTCGCATAGCCATTTTTTAGGAAAAGGAGCCCACAAAGCTTCTATAAGAGGCAGAATGTGCCTCTTTCTTGTCCCCAAGGAGCCGACGACGTCCAGCAGGAGGTTGCTCTGCAGACTTTTCATGGTTTTTTGTCCTGGTTCCTAGGTAGGATAAGGGGACCCTTCAAAGGGTACCCCTTCTTAACCCTCTTCTGGCTCTCTTAAACAAAAACCTTATTCAGAGGGTCTATATCTCCATGGGTCCCCCTAATCCTATCCCCTACTGGTATCTTTGGAGGGGGTTCTCGGGGGACTTGTTTGGGGTTGGTGTGGGGGGTTGTTTGGCGGATTCTTTTGGTTCAGGTCCCACTTGGGGTTTTGGTTCCCTGTCGCTGAGAATCGCTGAGAGAGTAGAGACAGACATGGGGTCGTCACTGTGCAGCTGATCTTGACAAATCGCTCGGAGCCCAAGATCTCGTAGACAGATCCGGGAATCAGGGGTCTGAAAGCCTGTTGGAGCGCCCCGAAACCCTAAACCCTAAAGCCTAAACCCTAAAGCCTAAACCCTAAACCCTAAACCCTAAACCCTAAACCCTAAACCCTAAACCCCTAAACCCTAAACCCTAAACAATAAAGTACCTAAGTCTTTGCAGGCAACCGATCTCTCGGCCGAGTGCAGGCCTGGCAGGGAGTGGATTTGGGGCGTTAGGCGTGCCTTCCTACACCCTAAACCCTAAACCCTAAACCCTAAACCCTAAACCCTAAACCCTAAACCCTAAACCCTAAACCCTACTTGTGTTATGGCAGGGACCAGCCGACGCACCACCGAAGCACCAAGATCGACAACGCGGCCTGCCTCAGGGCGCTTTGGGTTTTAGGATGTTTAGGGTTTAGGATTTAGGGTTTAGGGTTTAGGGTTTAGGGTTTAGGGTTTAGGGTTTAGGGTTTAGGGTTGAATATACCTTAAACTTAGTAGCTGAGTGAGCACGTTTTGCACTTGTTGGGATACTATCATCCCCCATAGAACTGAAAGTGTACACTTTTTTTGGGCTTATGAACTCAGCAACTAAGATTTTGGATATGATTGTAGATCCTTGTCATTCTGCTGCTCTTCGCGCCGACAGGGAATGTCGGAAGGTTCCGGTTACTTTCGCAACGCCAAGATCCTAAACCCTACACCGCAAGCTCGGCAGTTTTTGCTGCGGCGACCCGCCTGAGTGAGGGCCTGCCCAGCAGCGAGGCAACCCAAACCGCAGATCGCGGGTGTGAAGGTCCTCGGGGCTTTGAGAGGTTTCGTGCGATGTTCCCTTTGATGCTCCCGTTGTAACACTCGGGCTCATGCATAGAGCTGGCACCCCCAAGTGCGGGGGGAGTAGTAAAACAAGAAAAAACAATCCGGGTAGAGGTGAGGTGGAGGGAGGACGAGCCTCTAGGTAGGGTGGGGCGGTTTGGGGGGTTGGGGTTTAGGCTTTAGGGTTTAGGGTTTAGGGTTCAGGTTTAGGGTTTAGGGTTTGGGGGGGGGGGGGGGTTTGGGGGGGGTGGAAATTTTGTGGCCTCCCTCTGGTCCTGAGGCACCGTCCGCTCCTGGACACCCCTCGACTAGGCCAAGCAAAAAAAGTGCCAAATGAAGGGGTGAGAATTCAGAGGCCTGCTTTTTGCTGCCTCGGCAGACGAACATGCAGTTTACGTTCGTTAACAAGAAACCCTGAGCAAAGTTGTTGACCAGGCGACGTGCTCAAGCTTCGGTAGTTGCTCCCTGCAGCTTCACTATCGTATGATGATTGCACCTGTGTCGGAGGCAAATTTAGGGCCCAAAGAGCCCAATATTGCTTAATTAAGGAATATGCCTTAAATCATATTGAGGATCCCTATATATGATTTAAGGAATATTCCTTAATGAAGCAATATTGGGCCCTTTGGGGGTTCAGGGGTTGAAAGGGGGACGAGCATCTGAAGCTGCTGGATCATGACAGACACATACAAAGCAGGATCAGTCCAATCTGTTGGTGTGTCAAGTATCACAGTAGTAGAGTAGGTAACCTTTAGCCTTTTTTTGGGGTAGTAGAATCCATAAGGTTAACTGTAGTAGAGTAGGTAACCTTTAGCCTTTTTTGGAGTAGTAGAATCCAGAAGGTTAGCCTTTAGTTCCCCAGGTTACTGGACAACTATAAGTGCATCACCGTAAGGCCTGGCAACGTCTGCGAGAGCGTCACATCGAGGCAGATGTGGGCCGCCACAAGGCGCGTTGCGCGTTGGGGCTGTGCAGTTTGTGGAGGTTGTGGCTGCTTTGTAAGATTTTGGCTTAGGGTGGTTTAGGGGGTTTAGGGTTTAGGGTTTAGGGTTTAGGGTTTAGGGTTTAGGGTTTAGGGTTTAGGGTACATTTGAAGCTGGTCGTAGCCGACGTGTTCATTCAGTGTTTGTCCATCTCGATTGCCATGAATAAATGAAATTCGAATGGGGACCTAGCTAGTGACGCGAAACCAGTGCAGTCAAACCCTGAACCCAAGCCCCAAACCCTGAACCCTAAACCCGAAACCCTGAACCCTAAACCCCAACCCCCCTGTGCTCTGATTCTCCCAAGAGGGTGAACCCTAAACCCTAAACCTAAACCCTAAACCCCAAACCCCAAACCCCAAACCCTAAACCCTCAACCCTAAACCCTAAACCCCAAACCCTAAACCCTAAACCCTAAACCCTAAACCCTAAACCCTAAACCCTGGAGGGTAGCCCTATGCCCCGCCATTGTATGATTTGGGTGGGAGCCCTCCGCTTGGCACAGGGAGGAAAAAGGAATGGCCAACCTCCTGGGTTCCTGTTCAGTTCTGGCGTAAACCCGCAACCCCCAAACCCCAAATCCTAAACCCTAAACCCAAACCCTAAACCCTAAACCCCAAACCCTAAACCCTAAACCCTAAACCCCAAACCCTAAACCCTAAACCCGAAACCCTCAACCCTAAACCCTAAACCCCCAAGCCGACTCCAAGCAAGGCCCTCAGACGCACCAACTGCACGAATTTGGACTACGAGCTCAGTGCGAAGCCTCCATACCGCGAGGTGCAAGAGTTTTGGTTTCGGGTTTAGGGTTTAGGGTGTTTCGGGTTTTAGGGATTAGGGATTAGAGAGCGCGAGGTGCGAGAGCTTTGGCACATCGTCCTCCTCGACTGCTGCGTGGCGCTGACCAGCATCCTTCCGTTTCTCTGCGTGCCAGCTACTTGGCTTTCTTCCGGGATGGCTCTTGGGACTTTGATTTTTTTGGGTTTTTGTAGAAACTAGGAGAAGGAGCCTAAAAGTTAAACCTTTGGGGTGCAGAAGTCAGCCAAGGCGACGTGGTACCTCTTGGTGAACTATTCTGCACGATGGGTCCGGCTTCGCCAGCAGCAGCAGACGCTTGGTCGCCCAGTGGTACCCTTTACCCTTTTTTGGGTTATCTTTGTCACGGTGGGGTAGCATGTTACATGTTCAATAGTGCTTAAACTCAATCAGCAATGAAATTAGATTTAAAATATGATCCCTAACCATGCACCAGGATTGGGTTCCCTTAGAAAGCAACCAACCCAAAAACGGGTGCCCTTGTTTTCATCGGGCTGCTGGGCTACAACAACCCTAAACCCGAAACCCTAAACCCTAAACCCTAAACCCTTTGTACCAAAAGGACTTACAGCAACGCGACAGTTGCCACGGCTGCCGCTCTTTGGCGGCTCCTATGGGAGCTGATGCTGTGGGTCTGGCTTCTTGGCTTTCTTTTGGCTGTTTAGGGTATAGGGTTTAGGTTTAGGGTTTAGGGTTTAGGGTTTAGGGTTTAGGGTATAGGGTTTAGGGTTTAGGGTTTAGGGCTTAGGGGGCTCTTGGGACTTGAGCCTCTCGGGTTTTTGTGGAAACTACAAGAAGGACCCTATACAGTTGCAGTTTTAGGACAGGTTCAGAAGTCAGCCAAGGCTTCTGCAGCACAACGTTCGCATGGGGATGGATCTTCTTCACTTTGTGCACATTCTGTCAGGGGACCCAGAAGGCCCAAAAGACTTGGAAGAGATACTGCGAAGCATGATTGCGTACCTAGGTAGGCCCTTGGGATATTTTTATATCTTCCCTTATTGGGTTGAAGAGGATCCTGTTCAGGAATCTTTTTCAGAGGGTTTTAAGGGCCATCCTAGGTACCTACAGTCGAGCTTCACGCGGAGCAGCTTGTGCGTGTGCACGGTCTTCTTTTGGCGTTCATTCAGAACTCATTCCGGCAAAGCACAGCAATGGATTTCTGAGCAGAAGTGGTGGCATTTCAAGAAGATGCTGGAACAAAAGGAGTCCGATCACAGTGACTCTGGCGGATTCCGCCGGGCTATTGAGGTGCTAAAATCTTTGCAAGGCCTTGTGCCGTGGGACCAATATTTCAAGCCTCTAAGCGATCCAAGCGATCCAAGCGAGCCAAACGATCCAAACGAGCCAAGCGATCCAAGCGAGCCAAGCGATCCATCCGAGCCGGCGCGACGGTCGGATCCGAACTCGGGCCGGGGGGTCAGACGCAGAGCCGTTGTCACAGCGCTGTCCACCGTGGGGCTTGCCATAGGGCTGCTGCTCATGTCGCTGCGTTTGGAGCTCGAGGCCCGAAATCGGCTGTTCGAGAACCAGGGCGAGCCAGCCGAAGAGTTGGTGTGGTGGTGGTTCAACATGCTGGCCGCTGTTCTTCTGATCTCTGATGGCTGGGCCCGTCTTCTGTGGTCGCTTCAAGAGGCAACCGACAGCTTCGGCGACAACATCTCGCAGGTCCTTATCTTCTCCTGCCTTCTCAAGCTCACAAGCTGGTCGCACTTGTCGCGGGGGGTGGAAGCCTACGGAGCTCGAAACCGGGCTCGCGCGAAGCGGCTGCTGGAAGACTTCAAGCTTCGCTCGGGCAGGCAGCTGCCCTGCCATCATCTCCCCGAGCCAGAGTTGCAGCCTTCACGGTGGTGTCCCTTTCGACATCAACCTCCGACCTTGACATGTGCAGATGCCAAGGTCATGTACCTTTGTCATGGTGGAGCAACATGTTACATGTTTTAGGGTACTTAAACTCCATAAAGAATAGAAATTGACATTTTTAATTCTATCGCAACCATGAACTAGGTACGAGTTGCTCGAGATGAACAACTGCCAGCTGAGCTGCGCCTACGAGCATGACTTGCAAGCGTGGTGGCTGCTGCGGCAGTACGTCTACATCGACCTGTCGCTATGTCATAGCGGGGTAGCACTTTACATTTTAAAAAGGGTACTTAAACCCCAAACCCTAAACCCTAAACCCTAAACCCTAAACCCTAAACCCTAAACCCTAAACCCTAAACCCTAAACCCTAAACCCTAAACCCTAAACCCTAAACCCTAAACCCTAAACCCTAAACCCTAACCCTAAACCCTAAACCCTAAACCCTAAACCCGAAACCTTTATCCCAACCATGAACGAGGTCGGATGAGGCTGCCCAGATGGAGTTTGTGGGCGTCATGGTTGCGAGCTTCCTTGCGGTGTTTGCGCTCTTTGCCGGGTTGGACTGGATGCTGAACTATAGTCTCTTGGTGGCCCAGTGGTACCCTTTTCCCTTTCTTTGGTTCAAATTACCCTTATAAAGTAACCAACCCAAAAAAGGTGCAACCCTAAACCCTGAACCCCAAACCCTAAACCCTAAACCCTAAACCCTAAACCCTAAACCCTAAACCCTAAACCCTAAACCCTAAACCCTAAACCCTAAACCCTAAACCCTAAACCCTAAATTTCTGGGCCACCAAGGCCTCGCTTCCCCGCCGCTGCTGCTGACCTACATGTCATCCAGCCCCCTGCTGCTCTTGATGTGGCGCGTCCTCTCCTACGGAATCGACATCAACGCGCTGCTCATACACGACGCCCAGGTTCTGTCGGACGCCGCCACATGGTCTGCGTTCTTTCCGCGCGAGATGTGGGGCTGGCAAGGCGCCCGGGAGAGGGCGAGCAAGGAAGGTGGCAGGCTGACCTTGCAGGTGGACCTGTCCACCCTCCAACGCAACGCGGAGGTCCATGAGAACATCCAGACCTTGCTGGGTGTCCCGGTGACGTCGAGCCTGCTAAGGGGCTGGATTGTGTCGCTGTGCCTGATGCTGTTCACATGGCTGAGGGGATTGGCGCAGCAGTTTTGGAATATCGAATGGCTGGCAGACAGGATTGGCGAACTGGAGTGGGAGAAGCTGGACTACATGAATAGCACGATGAGTGACTAGGTTGGCTTTTGGGACATCTTGCATTTTCATTATTGTCCTTATTTGGGTTTATAAGGGACCCTGGTTTAGGGTTTAGGGATTTAGGGTTTAGGGTTTAGGGTTTAGGGTTTTCAAAGGGTTTAAAGGCCAAGCCCAGGTGAGTATTTCGACTTTTTCGGGTGAGGGCCTCTCCGTACCCTCTGGCTGAATCGATGCGCTTGTGAGAATCTAAGAAATAATCAACCCAAATATTCCAAAAACCGTTAGTTAAGGAATATACCTTAATTTATACGAAGGATCATGATTAGGAATTAGGGTGATTTCCTTCATGAAGGGGTTTTGGAAGATCTGGGAAATAGTCAACATACCCCTTTGGTCATACCCTTCAAGGGAGTGTGGGTTTGGGGTATGTTGAATTGTTCTTAGAGATAAACAATACCAAAGGCTGACAGACATGATCAGCAGACGAGAGTACAGGCGAATGCCGCTGACTTTTTCCAGGGGCAGACTAGCCCCCTCTGTCATGTAGGCTACCACCTTTTTCAGCGTCCCCCTCTTGGGGATATCCGACAATGCGAGTATCCTTTTAGGTTCCTGCAGTACGGATCATCGTATTTTCGGGCTACATGAGGGGCACACCTCTAGTCTGGAAATATCCCACTTGGTCTGCGAAGCAGATACAGGTTCAACCGTCTGTTTGGTTGAGCTGGGAAATCCGGGTAATCTGTGTTTGGCAAGAATGTCTTTTTTCCGCTGAAGGTCTTTACAGCTGTGCAGCAAAGCAGAGTCTGAATAGTGAGAGGTGACGGAGGTATTGACCCTAAACCCTAAACCCTAAACCCTAAACCCTAAACCCTAAACCCTAAACCCTAAACCCTAAACCCTAAACCCTAAGCCCCAAACCCTAAACCTTGTCTCAACCTTTCAGGTGCGCCTACTGTCCAACTCTTCAGTCAGGATGCCTGTGTCTGGTGCCAGACTCTGCTTGCAAGGGATGATTGAGCACTCCCTAGAGACCCCTGGGAGTTTCCAACAGTAGATCCCCCTTAAGATGGTTTAGGGTTTAGGGTTAAGGGTTTAGGGTTTAGGGTTTAGGGCTCCTAAGAAAGACCCGATAGTAGTCCAGCCCCCCAGGGGGGCTCTGGGCTAATATTCTCTTGTACAAGCTTGCAAACCTGTATCCAAAGTTGGTGTCGGGCAAGGGCCCTGACAGGGCTCTAGATGCACCGTATTTTAGCGCCCGAGGTGTGACATTACATCTGTCAAGCTGGAGAAAGAGGCCAAGAGCGTCGCCCTAAACCCTCAACCCTAAACCCTCAACCCTCAACCCTCAACCCTCAACCCTCAACCCTCAACCCTCAACCCTCAACCCTCAACCCTCAACCCTCAACCCTCAACCCTCAACCCTCAACCCTCAACCCTCAACCCCAAACCCTCAAACCCTAAACCCTAAACCACTCTCCACAGGGGTGCCTCGTCGAGCTTGCGTGACATTTCTCTGTCGAATTTGCCGTGCAGTCGCCTTTGGTTCAGCTCGCTGCCTCCCATGCTCTTTCCGCATCGCCTCGGTACGCGTAGGCTCTGCGTAGTTGGTTTTTTTCTCTGCGCAGGTTTGCTTTTCTCTGCGTAGGTTTGCGTCGTCAAGGGGCTACAGCAGGGACCCCTTAAAGGGACCTTAGAGGTTATTCAGGGGTTCTTCAGGGGCTACTTGTAGGTATATAGGGACTGACTATATAAGGCACATCCAGGGGTTATAGAGGCGAAGAAGATTAAGGGTCCCTTGTTGGGGTCCCTCCTTAAACCTGTTACACTTTTCCCTGCGTAGGCTTGCGTAGGTTTTGCCCATGTATGCGTCGCACATTCGCATGGGTTTGCGTAGGTTTCGTCTGCGGAGGGCACGCCGCAGGTTTGCGCCAGTTTGTGTGTAGTTTTGGTTTTATGAAATCCCGTGGTACGGGATTACCTTAAACCCCAAACTTACCCTAAACCCTAAACCCTATATGAACCCTAAACCCTGAACCCTGAACCCTGAACCCTAAACCCTTAGGGTTCAGGGTCTCCAATTTTGGGGGTTTTAGGGTTTAGGGTTCCAGGGTTTCAGGGTTGAGGGTTTTTGGGGTTTAGGGTTTGGGGGCCCTAATTTGGGGAACCCGCTGACCGTTCTATGTCAAGGTTTGCCAAAGTTCTGAAATTATTGGGCTGACAGCGCGTGATGCTGCCCCCCCTTAAGCCCTAAATCGCAGACAGACGGCGTCTAAGGTTGGAGCCATTGGCCCTTAGCGTAGTTCCTTACCCTTGTATACAGGGATCCGTTTTACAGGCCTTATTAAAGATAGTGTATATAAGGGTTTAGGGTTTAGGGTTTGCAGCTTGGGGTTTGCGGTTTGGGGTTTAGGGTTTAGGGACCCACATTAAGGGCCCATACTTCGGATCCCCTATGTCTGGTTCGCGGCTTTTCGTGTGGTCCTCACGGTAGGATGCTGCCCTGCATCCTGGTAAAAGTGGAAGGTTTTGGGTCTCAGGGTTTAGGGTTTAGGGTTGCAAAGCCCAGCCCACCCGAAAGCCCTAAAAACCTTCAGCTCTGAACCCCAAACCCCTAACCCGAACAAAAGCCCTTCAAAAGCTCCCAAGTCCAGTGCTCCAACCCTAAACCCTAAACCCTAAACCCCAAACCCTAAACCTTCAACCCTCAACCCTAAACCCCAAACCCCAAACCCTAAACCCTAAACCCTAAACCCTAAACCCTAAACCCTAAACCCTGCGCCGCGTGCCACGTGGGCTCTGGGAGGAATTCGCGGTGCAACCCTGGGTCCCTCCCCCCCTTCCCCTTTGGCGCTCGCACCAGAAAGGCCGGCTATGGGGTTTGGAGTTTTGGGTTTAGGGTTTAGGGTTTAGGGTTTAGGGTTTAGGGGTTTGGGGTTTTGGGTTGGGCTGTGAGGGTTTTAGGGTTTAAGGTTCTAGGGTTTTAGGGTTTTAGGGTTTTAGGGTTTGTAGGGTTTTAGTGTTTTAGGGTTTTAGGGTTTTAGGGTTTTAGGGTTTTAGGGTTTGAGGGTTTGAGGGTTTTAGGGTTTTAGGATTTTAGGATTTAGGGTTTAGGTGAGGCTGTTCGGTTTAGGGTTAAGGGCCGTTGGGGTGAAGGCTTGCGCAGACGCATCCAGGATCGTTGCCTTCCCTAAACCCTAAACCCTAAACCCTAAACCCTAAACCCTAAACCCTAAACCCTAAACCCTAAACCCTAAACCCTAAACCCTGAACCCTGAACCCTAAACCCTAAACCCTAAACCCTAAACCCTAAACTCCAAACCCTAAACTCTAAACCCTACAGATAGGTTGGGTGTTTTGGGCTTAGGGTGTTTGGTTTGGGGTCTGAGAGGCGGCCGAAGATTTGTGGGACCCTGATGCCTAGGGCTTAGAGTTTCGGGGTAGCTGAATGAGGACACTTTACACTTTTTGGGTGCTAAATTCCCCTATTGAACTGAAAGTGTACACTTTTTTGGGGCTTCTGAACTCAGCAACTAAGCTTAGGTTGCCATCCTACTCCATTTTGCCGCTGCCCCCTAATTCTGAGACCCACCGAACCCAAAAACATTTTAACGCAGAACCCGAAAAGACTGTGAACCCCAAGACCCAAAACCTCAACCCTAAACCCTAAACCCTAAACCCTCAACCCTAAACCCTAAACCCTAAACCCTAAACCCTAAACGCTAAACCCTAAACCTTAAACCCTATACCTAAACCCTAAACCCTAAACCTTAAACCCTATACCTAAACCCTAAACCCTAAACGCCGAACTCCAGAAGCCCAGAACTCCAAAACTGCAAGCCCCCGGTCTGTTCCTGGCAAGTTGCAGAATCTGGGTTTAGGGTTTAGGGTTTAGGGTTTAGGGTTAGGGTGTAGGGTTTAGGGTTTAGTCTATGAGAGAAGGAGAAGAAGCCTCACCAGGCATCCCTCGCTCTGCTCCCACCCACGGTTTAGGGTTTGGGTTTAGGGTCGGTTTCTGGCCTAAACCCTAAACACTAAGCACTAAACCGACCAAACCCTCAACCCTGAACCCTAGCCCTACACCCTAAACCCTAAACCCTAAACCCTAAACCCTAAACCCTAAACCCTAAACCCTAAACCCTAAACCCTAAACCCTAAACCCTAAACCCTAAACCCTAAACCCTAAACCCTAAACCCTAAACCCTAAACCCTAAACCCAACACCGTCAACTCCTTCCAGAAAGGGCGCCATGGGTGACGAGGAGGAACCTAAGGTTCACGACCACCGCAACTTCAGGGACTTTCGGGCTTGAGGGTTTGGTGCTTTGGGGTTTAGGGATTTGGGGGTACTGGGTTTGCGGTTTAGGTTTGGAGGCTTGTGGTTTAGGGTTTGGGGTTAAGGTTTTGGTTTTTAGGTTTGGAACTTGGGGCCAGGGCGTCCTGGGGTTAGGGTTGAGGGTTGAGGGGTTTATATGGTTTTAGGGATTGTAGGTTTCTTCGGGCTTGTAAGCCTTTGTGGGTTGACAGGGGGTGGCAGCGGGCTTACAGGGTTCATAGGCTTTAAGGGTTTAAGTAGGCACCTGACCCCCCCCTTCCAGACCCAAAGCAAGCCCTGAACTCAAATCCCAAACCCTTAGCCCCAAGCCCCAAACCCTAAACCCTGAACCCCAGTCCTAAACCCTAAACCCTAAACCCCTAAACCCTAAACCCTAAACCCTAAACCCTAAACCCTAAACCCTAAACCCTAAACCCTAAACCCTAAACCCCAAACCCGAGCTTCTATAGGGGCTTGTGCATCCCCGAGTCCCTACATCAGGGCCCCCCTGTTCTGAAGTATGGGCCTGCTTGGGCGTTGTCGGGTTTAGGGTTTAGGATTTAGGGTTTAGGGTTTAGGGTTTAGGGTTTAGGGTTTGGGGCAGATAAGGGGTATATACGGCTTCCCCGATTTTCTCGGCCAATTGCTCAGGGATCACGTACCTACCCTTCGACCACAGCCCAACCCGAAACCCCAAACCCTAAACCCTAAACCCGGAACCCTTGGAACCAATGCCTGACCTGGGTCCCATTACTGGGGGGTGACAGCCAAGGTGTGTACGACAGTTTCCTAAGCCCTAAACCCTCAACCCGAAACCCGAATCCCCAAACCCTGTTTCAATTCCTGGTTACCCTGAAATACCCTATGTCAGCCCCTAAACCCTAAAACGCCCTAAGCCCTAAACGGTTGATCGTTTGAGGGTTGAGGGTTGAGTGTCCCCAAGCCGTGGCGCAACAGCTCGCCGGTCGCCGAGCTCCAACTCAGCAGTGCTTGAGCAAGTATCCGACGCCCTGCAGCCCTAAACCCGAAACCCTAAACCTTAAACCCTAAACCCTAAATCCTAAACCCTAAACCCTATACCCTATAGCTTAAACCCTAAAGCCCTACACCCTAAACCCTGAACCCTAGACCCTAAACCTCTCAACCTTGAACATCATTTTCAAAGACGTCTCAGTCCCCTAAGCCAAGAAGCAAGTCGCGAAGATCAACAACCTTAGGGTTTACGGTTCAGGGTTTAGAGTATAGGGTTTCCTAAAGCCGGTAAGGCGCGAAGCTCTGCCCGTCACTGCGCGCTGTGGAAGAGAGACATCTTGCAGCCATGGGCATTCCGCGTTTCTACCGATGGCTTTCTGACCCACGGCTCGCACCCCCTGAAAGGGTTTAGGGTTTAGGGTTTAGGGTTTAGGGTTTAGGGTTTAGGGTTTAGGGTTTGGGGCTCGGGGTTTCGGGTTTGCCTTAAACCCTAAACCCTGAGTGTGCAGAGGATTTCGAGGGTTTATATAGGGTTTGGAGAGGTCTCGAGGGTTTGGAAGGTTTACGTGGGGTTTATGTGGGGTTGCTCCTTTTTTTGATAGGGTTTCTGGGGTCTATGGGTTTACGAGAAGGGTTTATGGGGTTATAGGCTGTGTAGGGCTTAATAGGCTTTATGAGGTCAAGGGTTAGGGTTTATGCGGTTATTTAGAGGGTTTACAGGGTTTTGGATTTTGTGCCAATTCAGGGCTGAGGTCAAGGATTTTTAGGGCTGAGTTTTCTTGTGGGGCTCGGGTTTAAAGTACATTGAACGTTCCCGTCAAGGGTCAAAATGTGGTAAACCCCTAAACATAAACCCTAAACCCTAAACCCTAAACCCTAAACCCTAAACCCTAAACCCTAAATCCTAAACCAAATAAACCCCTAAACCCCTAAACCCCTAAACCCTAAATCCTAAACCCTACACCCTAAACCCCAAATCCTAGCCCCTAAACGCGAAACTTCATCCCCAGAGCCAGGGGGGGTTTAGGGTTTTGGGTTCAGGGTTTCGGGTTTAGGGTTTGGGGGTTAGGGGTTAGGGTGTTTTAGGGTTTCTAGGACCCAGAGCAGTTGTGCTTATCCCCCCTTCTTGGGAGGGTTTAGGTTCCCTTAGAAGCCCTCGACACCAAAAAAGCACCCCTAACATTCCTAGCAGGGTCTAGGGTTCAAGGTTTAGAGTTCAAGGTCCTAAACCCTAAACCCTAAATGCCCCACATTCTGGTACATGAAGGGGGCAGTTAATTTTCTCAGGAGCGATACCCGCTCATCAATGAGAACATCACGCAGGAGTACCCTGCCGCAAGTTAAAAAACCCTAAATCCCGAACCTTAAGATAACCCCTAAACTCGACTCAGGGTACGTATCAACCAATTACAACTGTACTTACAACCCAAATTATAACCCTAATAGGGCACTTGAGGGGCTTATAAGTAGGTTAAAGTACAGTTGCGAATTGGGTTTCAGCGTTTAGCGTTTGTAAGTGCCACAGTCACCTGATGACCATCAGGACGAAGAGGCGGGGGGGAGGAGGAGGAGGAGGAGGAGGAGGAGGAGGAGGAGGAGGAGGAGGAGGAGGAGGAGGAGGAGGAGGAGGAGGAGGAGGAGTGTCGTTTGATTCATGAGTACATGGCCACCGCACGACAATACTGCTCATGGCGGCGAGAACACCGCGAGAACATGCTCAGGATCTAGCGTTTTCCCGGTTTTTAAAGTCCACTAAGATCCGAGATCTTCTTCTCGGGGTCCTCGTGCATGCTGTAGGAATGAGAAATTGGGTTCGCTATACAGTCCCGTCACGGGTTCCACAGGGGGATGTACGGCACCTAATTCCCAAATTATTTTTTGAAAGCGGTACCGAACTTCCAATGCCTTATCAAGAAGTAGTGTGTCAGTGCGTAAAGGTTTGCAAAAGCCACGCCTGGCCATGTTTGAAGGGAGTCGGGGCGTGTCGAGAACCTCAGGGCTTTCAGTTTAGGGTTTAGGATGACGTTGCGGGTGTAGGGCTTAGGCTCAGGGATTTCTAGCAGTCCCGCCAGGCAAATTCCGGAGTTCGACAACCTGTATCTGGACATGAATGGCATCATCCACAACTGCTCCCACAACAATACTGGAGGCCTTGGCGCCCGGCCTGCTACACCTCTTTTTTCAAATGCTCTTAAGGGAGGGGGGTTAAGGGGTATGTAACCCAAGGTTCCTTCATACTCCCCGCTACTCCCTAAGGCTCCCTAAGCTTCCCTAAGCTTCCCTTCACAAGCGCTCTCGAGTCGTACCCGTGGTGGTACTCCCACTGGTGTGCGGCGATTTCGTGCACATGGCAAACGTTCTAAGGGTACCCTGAACATGGTCCCTTACTCCCTTAAAGGGTGCTGATGTATGGGCCCTTAGTTTGTAGAGGGTATACAAGGGGTGCATATGGGGTACCCTTGTAAGGGCTTCGACAAACTCTTCAGCTTCGGCGGTTTTGGGGGCTTAGGGTTTCTGCAGGGTTTAGGGTTTAGGGTTTAGGGTTCCGGCAAACCCCAAACCCTAAACCCTAAACCCTAAACCATAAACCCTATATCAACCCTAAAGCCTAAACACTAAACGTGGAGCGAGCTGTTGAGGGTCGAGGGTCTTGGGTTCAGAGGGCTTCGGGTTTAGCGCCTTCGCGTCTTGGCGCGGTTTGGGGGCTTGCGTGCAGTTTAGGGTTTAGGGTTTAGATTGTTTAGGGTTTAGATTGTCTAGGGTTTAGAGTGTTTAGGGTTTAGGGTTTAGGGTTTAGAGAGTTTTAAGTTTGTGTTCTGGGCTCGGGGGGTTCAGCGTGCAGGGTTTTCGGGTTCGGGTTGAGATGGGGCTGCACCACGAGGCCTCTGTGTCAAGGAGGAGAACGACGTCTTCGTCGACGCCTTCAACTACATCTGCCGGCTCTTCCAAATCATTCGGCCAAAGACCCTCGTTCGGGCTGAGGGTTTCGGGTTTAGGGTTTAGGGTTTAGGGTTCAGGCTTTAGGGTTTAGAGGTTTATAGGTTTATAGGTTTAGGGTTTAGGGTTTAGGGTTTAGGGTTTAGGGTTTAGCATTTTTCAGGCACACCGTCGCTTCTGATGCGTCTGATGAGGGGTCAGGGTCTGAAAGCCCCTAAGCCCTAAACCCTAAACCATAAGCCCTACACCCTCAGCCCTAAGCCCTAAACCCTAAACCCTAAACCCTACACCCTCAACCCTAAACCCTACACCCTCAACCCTAAACCCTTAGAAGAGAACTCAGCCATCTCCTCAAGTTTATCGGCACGGAATCCTGAGGCCGGGCAGGCAGGGTATAGGCCCTGAACCCTAATGGTAAACCCTAAACCCTAAGCCCTCAACCCTCAACCCTACGCCCTCAACCCTCAACCCTCAACCCTCAAACCTCAAACCTCAAACCTCAAGCCTCAAGCCTCAAGCCTCAAGCCTCAAGCCTCAAGCCTCAAGCCTCAAGCCTCAAGCCTCAAGCCTCAAGCCTCAAGCCTCAACCCTCAGCCCTCAGCCCTCAAGCCTCAAGCCTCAATCAACCCTCAACCCCCAAGACCCTAAACGCTAAACTCTGCCCGAGGAAGCTTATTTACATGGCCGTCGACGGGTGCGCTCCGCGAGCGAAGATGAACCAGCAGCGCCCACGACTTAGAGGCTTAGATTCCGAGAGGCTCAGACATGCCCCCAAGACCTAAACCCTAAACCCTAAACCCTAAACCCTAAACCCTTAACCCTTAACCCTTAACCCTTAACCCTTAACCCTTACCCCTTAACCCCAAACCCTAAACCCTAAACCCTTAACCCCAAACCCAAAGCCCTAAACCCAAACTTTAAGGGCTCAAGGCTTCGATTTGTTGCCGGGTAGAGGGAGGGTCCTCAGACTTCGACGTTCAGGGCTCCGGCCTGGGAACTTAACCCCCAACAGCCCCGAGCTACAGCCCGAAACCCTAGACCCTAAACCGTAAACCCTAAACTTAACCCTAAACCCTAAACTCTAAACCTTAAACCCTAAACCCTAAACCCCAAACCCCAACCCTAAACCCTAAACCCTAAACCCTAAACCCTAAACCCTAAACCCTAAACCCTAAACCCTAAACCCTAAACCCTAAACCCTAAACCCTAAACCCTAAACCCTAAACCCTAAAACCCTAAACCCTAAACCCTAAAAACCCTAAACCCTAAACCCTAAACCCTAAACCCTAAACCCTAAACCCTAAACCCTAAACCCTAAACCCTAAACCCTAAACCCTAAACCCTAAACCCTAAACCCTAAACCCTAAATAAGAGCCTCCGGCTCAAGCCGCCGACCCCGCTGGAGCATAGTTGAAAGGTCTAAACCCACTCGTCGGCTCAAAGGATGCTTTCCTCATCGCATGGTTCGAAGATCATCCCAGCCTGCTCGGCAGAGTTCTGTGAAACGTTTGGGGGGGGGGTGGCAGGAAAGAAAGGGTAGGGGGGGTTGGGGGGGAGGGGGGGGAGGGGGTTGGGGGGGGGAGGGGCGGGGAAAATGCTGATGGGCGCCCCTACCCCCTGTGCTGAACCGCCTGTTTACGCTGTGCGGGTGGCGCGGTCCTCCACGAAAAAATTGTGCACCGACCCCCCCTACCCCCCCCCCGCGTTTTGGGGGGGTAAGGAGGGAAAGAGGGAGGTTTTCACCTCCTCAAACCCATCCAACACGCCGCCAGGGTCGGCGGACCCTAAACCCTAAACCCTAAACCCTAAACCCTAAACCCTAAACCCTAAACCCTAAACCCTAAACCCTAAACCCTAAACCCTAAACCCTAAACCCTAAACCCTAAACCCTAAACCCTAAACCCTATACCCTAAACCCTAAACCCTAAACCCTACACTGTTGGGTTGCAGGTTTGAGCGGGCCGCCCCGATCCCGAGTCTTAAGTGCCAGACTGAATCTTGGAGCCTTAAAACCTGACAGGCCGACAGGCCTTCACCTGGCCCTAAACCCCTAAACCCCTAAACCCCTAAACCCCTAAACCCCTAAACCCCTAAACCCCTAAACCCCTAAACCCCTAAACCCCTAAACCCCTAAACCCCGAAACCCCTAAACCCCTAAACCCCTACACCCCTAAACCCCTAAACCCCTACACCCCTAAACCCCTAAACCCCTAAACCCCTAAACCCCTAAACCCCTAAACCCCTACACCCCTAACCCCCTAAACCCCTAAACCCCTAAACCCCTAAACCCCTAAACCCCTAAACCCCTAAACCCCTAAACCCCTAAACCCCTAAACCCCTAAACCCCTAAACCCCTAAACCCCTAAACCCCTAAGCCCCTAAGCCCCTAAGCCCCTAAGCCCCTAAACCCTGAAGCCCTTAAAATCCTGCACTCTCCTCCCTTCCCCACCAGAGGCTCGCGGCGCTTCCGCGCCGCGAACGACGCGCGCGAGGCGCGCGAGAAGGCCATCGAGATGGGCGAGGACACCATGGTTTCAGGGGATTTGGGTTGTAGGGTTTACTTAGTAGCTGAACGAGTACACATAACACTTTTCGGGATACTACAATCCCCTATAGAACTGAAAACTAAGTTTAGGGTTAGAAGGGCTTGAAGGGCTTGAAGGGCTTGAAGGGCTTGAAGGGCTTGAATGGCTTTAGAGGGGCTTGTTTTTTTTAAGCTTTAGGGGTTTAGGTTCCGGGGGCTTGTTGGTTTAGGCTTTGAAGTTGATGGGTTTAGAGTTTCATGTCTTGTTTATGGGGGTGTGGGGCTTGAGGGTTTTAGTGCGTTCAGGTTTCAATCACGAGTGGCAGGGATGCCTTGTAACGATCATGAGGCGACGAGAGATTAGGAGAGGGATCATTTGTGGTGTCGGGTCTGGGGTTTGGG